GTTTAGAATAAGACAAATAAAACAGGAAAGGGAATACAATAGCAGTCCTCACTTAAATACATTAAATTGTAAACTTCAGACAGATTTCATTTATAATACGTTAACCTGAAGTTTATTGTTTATAGTTTGTTTTGTTTTTTATTACATCTTTTAAATATAATATTAATATTGACCTTTTTTACTGAAGCTAATAAAATTCACATCTTTTTAGCATTTATTATGAAACCAAATTTGAAAACATATTTAGAAATGTAGTACCTATATGACAATACCATTTTACAATTTACTTTTGATTATTAAAATGTAATAATATAACGTTTCTTCGTTTTTAAAATAAAATATAGTATTTGGTACCAATTCATGTTTCTTTATTAAAATTAATGAAAAATAATTTAACGAATCATGAGAAGTCATTAATTTTAAATTTAGAATTCATTAATCAACTTCACGCCAATATAGAATGGTCTGAAGTTGATTTATTAATTTATTTCTAAATAAACGTAACATAACACTTGGTATTATGGTATAGTATGTTACGATATAAGTGCATTATGATGGTTATAACACACTAGGCATAATTTTAGCACGAGCAGAAGGCGAGGGCGTAATAGAGCCGAGTGTGTTATATACGAACTTATATCGTACGACGTTTTTCATCACACTTTATTTTAAATAAACTCAACCATAAAACTGTGATGCACACTGTTAATTTCCAGCTGTTTTACTTTCTTAATCAGCTCGATGCTTATTGACTGGCGCTGCGCAGTTCGAAATTTACTTAAAAAAAATAGCAAATAGTGCGGTTATGGAATATTATACACTATTTGCGTCTATAAAGTACACTTGTTTAATGAACTGCTTTGTGTATTGAAAACCGGTAAATATATAGTATTATAAATAAATAGTATTCCTTCCAAACTGACTTCTCAATAGCTTCTTTCGATAGAGGTTTATCAAAATATATTAATGTAAAACATACCAAGTACTGAGATCCTATATTTTATTAATCATATGTCCAATGTTAATTACTAATTGGTTTATCACCAACTTTATTACTGGGAGGTCAGCGAAGTTAAGAAAAATCACGAAAATTAACCACGTTTTATTTATTATTTTATTGAGTTTCCTATATTTCGATTACGATGTAAGCAATAAATAAACATGGTAAGATCCCATTAAAAATAATGATTTTTACTAATTTCTATGTAAATAATAACCGTGACAAATTTTAAAAAAGTATTCTACATTGAAATTATCCTATTTTTTTTTATGTATCAAAAAGTACTGGGTTTATTATGGTATTTTTTGGAGTATACAATCTAGGATAACTTAAGAAGTACTTTTACAACAGTACTCTTTTCTATACAAAAAAAAATGTGAAAATTAGAATAAAAAAAATATGAGACAATCACTCTGATTATTTTACTATTGAATCGAAAATCGAATGTCATAAGATGTAGTTAAGTCGAGCTTTCTAGAAATTTTTAAAGTGGCTAAGTTATTTAAATTTAGCTATTAGATATTTTTTATTTTATATTATTTTAAAAGATGGATCAACGTAGCACCTCCCAATATCATGCTTGAGGTCTTACTCTCTAGTACAATAACTATTTTACATGGTTTTTTAAAATGTCAAAAACCAAACATATAAGCACTTTAGTACAGTAATATTATCGACAAATTCAAACATTTTTATAGAATACCCATAAAATGTAAATACGACAAGGTACATAAATGTTTAGATATAATTTGTTCGAAACGCTTAAAATAAAATGATTATCTATGTTATTAATTTAATTACTAAAACGTCTTATTGCACCAATTTTTGTTCTTCAATTTTGAACTTTATGATCAATACGCTGGTGGTCACTCTATTCTCCCAAATTTGAATTTAAAAATTATTGTGTATTATTGTAAACATGTACAACATTTATTTGAAAAGAATACGAGCTGAGTTTCTTGTCAGTTCTTCTCATCTCGCAATCATTCCGAACTGACGGTAGATTTGACATATCATAAGAGTCTGTAATAGACCTACATGAATAAAGATATTATGATTTTTATGAAAAATAGAAATAAATATATATTCTATTAAGACTGCATGATGTATGCAGGATACTGACAGTACATTCCGTGTGTACGCTATTTTTATGATACGTAGAATAGAATAGAATATTATTTATTCAAATAAACCTACTTTAAAGCACTTGAATAATGAATACGCAATACGCATACGCATTGTTTTAACCAAAACTCTATTTTAATTAATATGGGCCACTCATTACTCACTCACTAATAATATTTTAAACGCAAAAGTTTGTGAGTATGGATGTTTGTTAGTCTTTCACGCAAAAACTACTGAACGGATTTTGATGACACTTTACAGTAATATAGCTTATGAATTGCACACAGGTGAAACCGCGAGCACAGCTAGTATATATTCAGAGCTATTCGCGGAATCGTATATATAAGTATACAATTAATGAAATGGCAAGTTCTTTGAAATGTAACAACAACCTTAGTATGCGATTTGATAAAAAAAAATATAATTACACATAAAGCTCTTCTTACATTACAATGCTATGAGGCGACATTCAATCGCTTCAGGCTACATCATGTACATCCAAACTTTTTTATATATGCTGGTCACCACGTTATTATTGATTAATTTAAAGATGAATCTGCATTTTTGTAATCATGTACAAGCTCATTTGAACGAACAAGAGCTGAATATCTTGTCAGACTTTCTCAACTCCGAACTGACGGTAGATTTGACATTTATGTCTGTAATAGACCTACATGAATAAAGATATTTTGAATTTGAATTTGAATTATAATGGTAAACAATCTGACGGCTCCTGATGGCAATTAGCTACCGTCGCCTATGCCATTAAAAGCACCACGACCATTACCTTATCATTTATTTATTCTTTTGCAGACAAAATTGTAGACATGGCGGACTTAATGCCTGAGGGCATTTTCTACCAGTCAACAGTCGCACTGATCGCAGATATAGTAAGGCAGTGTAATTTAATAAGTAATATTGGAATATAAAATATATTAATAAATGAAAATATATATCTTTACTAAAAGCATCATAATGTGAGAAGGGCCTATCATGACAAATAATAAGAAATCATTGTATAATATTTATATATAGTTAATATATAACATACATATTATTTGATCAGCTTTTCTAATAAACATGGGGGAAATATGAAGACAGTTTTTGATGTTTCAGAAAATACACTTAAGAATCGCAGAACTGGTGTCTGTCACTTTGTTCATTATTATTGACAACTAGTTTTTTAATAATAAATAATTAATTTTGTAATATTCTGATGGACTTTCATATTTCCTCCAATTCCCTTCAACTGGGTCTCGTCTGAATTTATCAATTAAGAATAAAATGTATATGAATTATTATTATTACATGCTATAATTATAATTAATTTAAAATTACTGGCCTCTTGTTTCTCAACTAAGTAACTCCAGCATCATTTGAAGGCAAGACAATAAAATTACGAAGCCACAAAATAAATAATATTTTAAAACTAACCCTAATATTTACATTAAAAAAAATGGTCAAATAGCCTACTTAAAAAAATAAACGCTACACTATGGCAGCATCGCGTATAAAAAAAATATCTATGGCATATTGTACTTATTTATCACTGTTGAATTAAAAGGCGCAGAAATAAAAGAACATTCAAATTGACTCTTTGGTATTACACCAAAAAAAACATTTAAGCCGTACATTTTATCCTAAATATAGCAAAAAATGCTAAAAAAATACGCGAAAATTAAATAAAAATATAGGAATCAATATGAGTATTACGCGCCTAGCAGCAGGCCGAAAAATTAGCAAAAATTTAAAGCACGCACTCCCTCTTAGGTCTTGATAGTCTGTGGAGGTAAAAATATATAAACGGGCCTTTATACTCAGAACATTGTAGTTTCGAGCACAGAGCAATTAACACTGCTATTGCCTTTTTGACACTTGGCTTTTCCGAGAATTGAACAGATATGGCTTGCAGTTTCATAAAAAAATAGAAATTGACTCCTGTGCCTATTAAAAAAATAAAAGTTTGTACAGTTTCATTAAAAACAATATATTTATTTAGTCTTATAAACTTAGTCCCCAAGTATGGCACTAGTTCTTAAGTTAAGGTAAAGATTAGATATGATTTCTTCATTTGGTAATTTCCTATAATCAAGGGCGGATCTACCTAAGGGCTTTTTGGGCTACAGCCCTGGGCCCCGAGGATACAAAGAGCCCCCAGTCCCCACTGAAACGATATTTATAATATAAATAAATATCTAGAATGTTAAAAAGTCTATCATAAGGTTGGCAACACTGAGATCAATCAACCCATACACGTGCGCGTCTATTGAAAGGAACGAGCAATTTCTGGTCGCTTGTCTTTGGTGGGTGTATTTTTTTAGTTGAGTAATATAATTAGGTAGGGCCTACCTAATTATACTAAGTAGACTTAGCCCAGGGCCCCACAAATTCACGATCCGCTCTTGCCTATAATCTCTTCATGAATAAATGACTTTTAATTTGATTCGCTTATTTCCGTCACCGTTTAACTATTGTTACCTCCAAGCACGCACAATTTCTTAATATTTAATTTGGAAAATACAATTCCACATGTATATCCTCTTCACTTCATATACGACATTGAATAATCGTCATTCGCATCTCAATTGATATATCATTTAAAAATAAAACGTTATTTATAAACTAGTGGACTGTCCGTAATATAGTAACGACAGGTCTTGAATTAGAACCCGAAACGTATTAAAAATAATATTACACTTGTGTCCAATACACACCAGGCGTTTTTAGGCGTTTTAAATTACATTGAAAATATATATTATATGTCAAAATATTGTTTTCACATACAAAAATGTATATAGTCAATATATTGATAATTTACGTACAGTGAAGACAGAGCCCTATGATTTTTTTTTTTTTAAACATGACTGTTTGTTATTAGTTTTTACGTATAACCAATATGTAAAAAATATATATTTGGTTTTTTTCTCCCAGGATTTGAAATTACATTAATATATAATAACTGAGACTGATCTATAGAAGCGAAGAAAGATTATTTGGTAGTATTTATATTTTTCGAACTTTGAAATTTAAATCAAAACCAAAGACAATCTAAATTATAGATATAACTGCTGTAAATTTAATTGCAACATTTATTTTATTATTTTAACTTTCATAATACTAATATAGTTATTCAACACAACACAAAGACTACTCAATGTGTAATATAAAGCAAAATAAATTGTACTGACTAGAGCACTAGCAAACTAGTCTGATCGTCAAACGCAAATACATACTCCAAGTACCGTAATATTTTTGAAGTTATAACACATCCTCATCATCAGCTTCTTCCTTATCCCATTTATTTGTGGTCGGCGTAATATATTATTTAAATTATTAACCGGGTCTTAACACGAATAATTTTATGGCAAATAAAGGTATTTACCTCTCTCGATGTTTCGACTAGGTTGCACTAGCCGTGGTCACGAGCTGACTGGAGTTACAGCGATGTCAATGTAGATAGGTGACAGCAGTTTTTTCATCTACCGTCACAAGATTGTTTAACGAAAGTTCGCGACACACAGCACTCACGGTATCCGTACACTTATTGACTATTAATGCTACTGAACTTTGCTTAAGACCCGGTTAATAATTTAAATAATGTATATTAAACACGTCGGCGTAATATGTTTCTCTTTTCTATTAATCTCTGTTCGCAGTCATAACACAATTAAATACATTATTATTAATCAAGTTCAAAAACAACTATTTTATCATTCACATGTAGATATATAAAATTGAATGACGTCACGAAAAAGTATATAAAAATTGTATATGCGAAAAAAACGCACAGTAAACGTACCGCCTTAAAACGCTAGTGTGTACCATAGACAAAGTTTTTTTATTTATTAATAATAGTGCCTCGACCATCGTGCAGACTGCCAGTTCACTGCAGTATGCAATTGTTCTTCCTTTGTATTTCCACCTGTGAGAGGTTTCGTTCGATTGCATCGTCGTCTGCTATTCTGTAAGTATAAATTAATATTTAATACAAAAAATTTACGTTTATAAGCAACTAAAATGTAAATAATGGGATACATGCAAGGCAATGATTATAAAGAGGTGAAGTTTATGAGTTTGGATATTGGTGGTAATCTATAAATACTCAACCGATTTTGAAAGTTCTCTTAGCGTTGGATAGCCCATTTATCGAGGCTATATAACATGCTACGATCATAGTAGTGGAGCTATAATGTAAAATTTTCCATATTTTGTTTCGCAGGTCAGCTAGTCTATACTCAAATTACAATGAGGAAAGATTTCATTGTTAGTCCGTTTGCATTGAATAGGCTGCGAAACTACTTCACCTATTTATTTTTTCAGATCGATTTTCCGAGCAGTTTATTTACACGAAAATAAGTTAAACTTACGCTTTCTCCTGTTCATCCATTTCTTGCACTAATCTATCACGTTCGTTGACAGCTGACAATAGTTCCTGTAAAAATAATTATATACAAAGAAACAAATACAAAATAAATAAATTATTGTAGTTATATATATATCCTTTAACTCCATGGTTATACAAAGGTACCCATTCAGAAAACTTTGTACAAAGTTCTTGGCTTCGGATACTTTTGTCTGCCCAATTTCTGATGTTTAGCTATATTTTTGTAAAACTGTCTTTTTTAATAAAGCAGGATAATTAGCTATCTAGTCGTAAACTAAATAGAACTTGAAATAAGTACTAAATAACTGACAGAAATATTATAAACGCTAAAGTTTGTGAGTATAGGTGGATGTTTGTTAGTCTTTCACACAGAAAATACTGAACGGATTTTGATGAAACTTTACAGTAATATAGCTTATACATCAGAATAACACATAGGCTATATATTTCACGGAGGTGAAACCGCGGGATACAGCTAGTAACAAATATAATAATTCCATTAAGATCCTTTCAGACATTTGTTTCAAATTTATAATAGTATATGTAGGTAATTATACGTTAATTATACATTAAATAAATGTCGGATAGGATTAATGAACAATACAGACAGTCTCAACTAACAACTGGTCTTTGATTCACATCCTCTTTATAGCCTACCCTTACTATCCATTATGTACATAGAAACATACACAACAGTATGTATAATGGAGGTTTTACCTGAAGCAACAGTCTCTCCCGCCTCTTCTGTCCCGGGGTCTTCCTCCACTCGTCCACTCCTAGAGAGAGTCTCAACTCCTGCGCCAGCAGTTCGCAGCGGCGACTGAGGTCTTCCTCTCGCTCGCTGATAAAAATATTAACTTAATATAAATCATTAGGGAGAATGGGATTGTTAGTAATATGTAGCCATGAACCATGTGTATTCATGATCCCACTACTAGCAGTGTACCTCCACGCGGTCCCCTAGAAACCATTATGATAAATTCCGGTGAATTTGTAAGTATGGATGTTACTTACTCTTTTCACGTAAAAACTACTGAACGGATTTTGATGAAACTTTACACTAATATAGCTTATGTATACAGATAACACATAGGCTATATTTTTTATTGAAATTTAACGCGATTGAAACCGAGAGCACAGGTAGTATCTATATATATATATGATATATTGTAATGATACTATATATATATACTAACAGTATGTTGAGCTGCATCTGCCGCCTGAGTAGCGCGTTCTTCTTATTCACCAAGTTGAACCACTGCGACATCAGACGTCCTTCCTCCTGTACGTACACAAACACAAGTACAATTAAATAAAAAATAAACCATGAGATATTTTTAACTTCTTAATGCACTAGAAAATAAATTCATAACCTTTAAATACTGTCCAAGTGCGGAGTCACCAGTTATGAGCTTTATCTGGATTATATTTATGTATATTTAAATAAAATTACAAAGCAGACATTTATCTAATTTAATTTTATATGAAACAACAAAGTGACATTTAAGTTGCGCGCGCTTATACAATATGCCTATTTATTTATTTATTTATTTAATTCAGGCTACATGGCCCATACTATAAATACCTTATAGACTAACATACATAAGAAATAATAATAAAATATGAAAAATAAAATTGTCTCTATGGTCACGGCACTGACGACGGCAATCTGCCACGGTAGCGCCGATAGACCACCACCCCCTTCGGCCAGTAGTCCTCCTTCATGAAGGTGGGCAGCATATTGGTGGGGACCAGGGCCACGAACGCTTTGAAGCTCGCGTTGTGGCTCGATTCCAACTGCGTCACCCTCAATGTCAGGTTGCTTTTAGTCCGGATGTAGTCAACAATGTCCTGTTCCTTGGTAGCGTAGTGTAGGCGGGATAGGTACATTGCCGTGGTCGGTGTTGCGGCACGTAACAACGTCTATATATGTATACAGCCATACATCTTTATGTAGCCTTGAACCATTTAGATCAGTGTTTCGTAACGCGGAGCCACGCCCCCAGGGGGGCAATTTGATTAAGGGGGATTAATTAATTGTTATAAACTATGTATGTCACATACGAGGGGGGGAGCATAAGAATTTTAGAAAGGCTTAGGTGGGGCATGGCAATAAAAATTTGGGAAACACTGGTTTAGAGACTACGAGTCTCACAAGTGTTGTTCATATGTACAATATATAAGCTGCTTTACACGTACGCTCATTTACGAGCGAATTGGCTTTCATAAGTTAAAGAATATGCATGTAAATGTACAGAAAGAGAAGCAGAAAGACCGCGCGCGCAAACAGTGAGCGCGTACTCGCGTCCATCAATACACACGATTGGTTTAGCGCCTTTTTGTAATAATTAATTGTCATTGCAAAATGGCGAACATGTGGCTATGGAGACATATACATAGATATAGAGTTATTTGTATAGTAGTTGTCATTGCAAAATGGCGAACATGTGGCTATGGAGCAACGACATAATAGTAGTGTTACTAGCTTTTGCCTGCGACTTCGCACGCGTTAATTTATCCGCTTAGGGTTGTAATTTATCAAAATCCTGTCTTAGGCATCCCTGCCTACGTCATAGTAGCTTTATGCATGCAAAGTCTCAGTCCGATCGGTTTAGAATTGACAGTTTCATACAAACTTTTATCCCCTTGTGGGTAGAATTAATCAAAATCCTTTCTTAGCGGATGCCTACGTCATAACATCTACCTGCATGCCAAATTTCAGCCCGATCCGTCCAGTGGTTTGGGCTGTGCATTGATAGATCACTATGTCAGTCACCTTTGAGTTATATATATTTAGATTTATATATCTTGAACGTCTTTTCAGATAATAAAGTCTGTTAATTATAGAATAACATATTACATACTTAAGAATTTAAAAGAAAATATAATGATGTACAAAAACGCGCGATAGCGTGAACCTAAAAATAGATATAAAAAAATCATTCAAATTTGCGCGTGCGACTTTCTCACGTTATATGGCGCGTAAAAGAACGAGTCGTATAAAGGCAGGTATTGGTCGGGATGGGAATTAGTAAGGAAGGTACCGGATTTTGGGGAGTTTTCGCACACATTAGCAACAGTCTGCGCCACGCTCCCTGGAAGTGAGGATATGTGTTAATCTATTAATTACTAGGTTTCACAGCCTAGCAGTTTAACGTATCGCCTTACGTCCGATGGTCATACGTTCTATACCTCGCACAGTACAAACTTTTGTATTTACGAATATGCTTATTTATATTCAACTGTCTTTTCTATGTATGTCTTATATATAAAATTCTCGTGTCACAGTTTTCGTTCCCATACTCCTCCGAAACGGATTGACCGATTCTCATGAAATTTTGTGAGCGTATTGAGTAGGTCTAAGAATCGGCCAACATCTATTTTTCATCCCCCTAAATGTTAGAGGTAGTCCACCCCTAATTTTTTTTTTATTTTAAGGCAAAACAACGTTTGCCGGGACAGCTAGTTATGTATATATATATATATATATATATCTATATATTCATTAAATTTACTTATCCATTGTCTAGTACCCATAAAACAAGCTCTGCTTAACTTGGGACTAGATGGCGCTATGTGATTGGTTCAAGGGTTATTATTATTATTTCACGAGTACATAGGACGAAGCTCCTCTGACCCGTTATTTCCATACCTCGGTATTATCAGCCGCGTCCATGACCCGTCGTAGTTGCTTCTCCAGCGCGGCCGCTCGTTCGTCTATAGACTTTTGTTCTTTCTCCAGGGCTTCTAACTCGCTTTGTATATAGGAACCGGATTCTCGACCCTGTAATATAAAATAAATAATAAATAAATGACCCTGGACTATTAACACAACGCCATCTAGTCCTACGGTAAGCAGAGCTTGTGTTATGAGTACTACACAACTGATACAAATACATAGATTTTTATTTGTAAATGCATACATAATATACATAGAAAACATCCAGACTGATACAAATAACCATACTCAGGAATACAAATCTTTGCACCGTGCGAGGAATCGAACCCCCGACCAAAATCTGTCTTCTAATAATCAGTTTGTTAATTATGTATAATGGTTAATTATATAAATATTTGACGGCCTCGGTGGTCTAGCGGTTTAGCACACCGCTTTACTTCCAATGGTCGCGGGTTCGCTTCCTCGCACGGTGCAAATATTTGCACTTATCATTACGATTGTTTGTATCGGTCTGGGTGTTTTCTATGTTTATTATGAATGTATTTACAAAAAAAACTAAGTATTTATATCAGTTATCTAGTACCCCTAACATAACGCTTTAACTAGCTTAACTGGGGTCTAGATGGCGCTGTGTGAATTGTCCTGAGATTATTATTATTATAAATATTGTGTAATATGAACACATAAGTTAAAATAATTAAAAATGAAAGTAATAAATTCAATAAAAATATTTCATGGGCCTATAACCGGTGTGCTCAATAGAGCGAGGCGGTATTTCACTGCGGACCAGCGCACCTGGATACCAGCTCGGTTCAGAGACGTGCTATGAGAATTGTCGATGATCCCAATCTCTCTGGCGGTATCGAGCCACTTAGCTTGAGGCGAGACTTCGCCTCGCTTTGTGTGTTCTACCGGTTATACAACGGACTGTGTTCTGAGGAATTGTTCGATATGATGCCGACAGCCACCTTTTACCACCGCACCGCTCGCCATCGACAGGGAATTCATCCCCACACACTGGAACCTAAGTGGTCCCGAACAGTGCGGTTTCAGAGGAGTTTCCTCCCGCGTACACTTAGATTGTGGAATGAACTTCCTGCCGAGGTTTTTCCACGAGACGACAGCATGGGGTTTTTCAAGAAGGGTATATTAAGGTTTCTTAAGGGTCGGCAACGCGCAAGTGATAACTCTGGTGTTTCAGGCGTTCATAGGCTACGGTAACCATTTACCATCAGGCCGTATGCTTGATTGCCACCATCGTAGTATAAAAAAATATATATAAAGGGTGTAGTACCTCGTCAGGTAGTTCTTTATCCGGCGTGAGTCTGTCAACAAGTGCGGAGAACGAATGCAGCGGAGATCGCCGCCCCGAGCCCTGAGAACCACTCTTGATGCTGCGGCTGTCCTCACTGTGATGATCTTCTGCAGAATGAAAACAACATCTTGATGTAAATAAAATTTATATATATCTAAGTCCTTAGTTGCCAAAGTGGTCCAGATGTACTCACAGGAGTCCACGGAGACTCGACGGGGTCTACATTGTTGTGACACAATAATGTAAACCTGTCCAGGAACTATCTGCTTTCGATAGTGAAGAACTAAAATGTTGACTCAATTTCGCCTATTACAATGTAATATGATAACAAAAATGATTAATTATTATTATTATTATATAGTATAAAACAAAGTCGCTCTAGCTCTTACTTTCTGTACGTCCCTATGAATGCTTACATCTTTAAAACTACGCAACAGATTTTGTAGCGGTTTTTTTTTTAATAGATAGAGTGATTCAAGAGGAATATTTATATATATATAATACGTGTACACCCGTGCGAAGTCGGGACGAGTAGCCAGTAGTATAATTATTACTTAATAAAATATAGTGTATTTATTATATAGAATTTTTTTACCACTCCGAACATTTTTCAAGAAGGAGAGTTTTCTTGATTCCTTGTACCGAGACTCCCTGGATGAGTACGATATGGTGAGATGTCTGGTAGGTAGACTCTCTAAGTCATCTGCGACGATACGCACTCCCCAAATAGTTTGCTTTGTAAGATGTGTTTCGATCGGAGGATCGAGAAAAAGTGAAATTACGAAGCATGTCATCTTAGTCCTCCAGTATATCTGTAGTGAATATTTTATAACTCACCAGATCTGTCTGGACTGATGGAACTGTTCCTGGAAGGGCTGGAGTGCACTGAATCCTGACGACCTAGTAACGCGTCCAACTGCTCCATGCCGCCAGCTGCTAATTAATTACAATATTATTTAATTTTTTTTTATTACAGGACATTTCACTATAAGTCCCAAACTAAGCAGAACTCATGTTATGAGTACTAGACAACTAATATACACATACAGTTTTTTTTTGTAAATATATAGAAAACACTCAGACTGAAACAAACTATCACACTCACGAATACAAATGTTGGTACAGTGCGAGGAATCGAACCCGCGACCATCGAAAGTGAAGCGGTGTGCTAAACCGCTAAACCACCGAGGCTGTCAATAATAGTTGATATTTGGGGGAGGGGGGAAGGGGGAGAGGGTATAGGCTTGTTAGGTACGTAAACCTGTAGCACTGCGACCATACATAGATCTATTGTGCTCGCCCTTTTTCAAAGTTCGCTGCCTAGACCCGTTAGGGACAAGAATTAAGGATATTCTTAGGAATGTATATTAAACTTTTACGTACATTACATTTTTCTACACCTCATGTATGCTATATGTCTTTAATTAGTGAATAAAGAACTTATCTATCTAAATAAAGTACAAAATAACAAAACAAAGATATGGTATAAAAATAATACATACCGGCCGCAAGTTCATCCATGACGGATTGCTTGCTGATGATCTCGACCGTGCCGGAGCGGACTCGCCCCGGCGATAACGGGGACGTAGGGCTGTCGACAATAACTTAAATAAATACTGAGGGAGTTACCATGGCGTAACGCCTGGTAAAGTGTTGTGTGTGGCACAATATTAATTTTCATACTGCTTTCTTGATATATGATAGCGTAGCGGCTTTTGTATTGATTGCCGCATGCATCCTTATGTAAAGTGCGAATACTGTAACTACCATATAGTAATTTTTGTAGCTGTGACGTGGTCGAGTGGAATGAGTATTCATGCTCACTAAAATGTCCAGACATGTGGCGGCGTGGTGGGCCGGGTCAATGGGCTCCCTAAAATATGGTCGAGCGCAGTGCCAGCCATCACTCATCCGTCATACTCGTGAAGCGAGTGCTGCTTGTAGGGACTGGTCTGCTCTTATCACTACGACTGATTATCTTATTGCATATTTATATTTGACCCAAAAATTAGTGCTTGTTGGTAGTTTATATTCTCACGTTTCGACTCGTAAATGTAGACTTACAAGGATTATTTAAAAGAGCAACATACAAGTTTATTGCTCGTTCTTCTTGTGATGAGACAGCTTTCCAAACGAGTGGTAGATAAAAAACAAATTGTTATGACTATTCAAAAGTGCTTAAATTAAGTTTATTTGAATAAATGATTTTCTATTCTATTCTAATAAGCTGACACCGCTACCGGGAACAGCCAAATACCAAGAATCAATTATAAAAACAACAAATAAACAATCATTATATATATATATACATAATAAACAATCAATTATATAAGTTAGATGTCAATACATCTAACTTATATAATTGATTGTTGCATTTAGGACAGTCTTGTTCGATCATTATACATTTATACTTTGATAATTCTATTGTTTTAATTAAATAGAATATATTTTTAAAAACGCAAATATCGCCCGCCGTAACATAAGTAGGGTAGATTTTTTTTACTACTCTAATGCTGTTGGACGCAGCTGGCGTTTACAGCTTCACCGGACGATAGGGAGCGGAAGGAAGGAAGGACTTATAGAGCGGCTGAAGGCCAACTCCCGCCTGACGGATACGACTTTAGTCTGAGGGCATCGCTAAGGGTTCGAACCTCGGCTCAGATCGTCGTAATTTCGATCCCCGTTTGAATTGAGCGGTGGATCGATCGGAGAGCGACAGTAGTATGCGTGGGTACCTTAGTATCACTATTTCAGCCTTGAATGATTACGAAATAAATCTTACGAGTATTATAATGCGTAAATTTAGTAGTATAGCTGGATGAATAATTTTGATGAATCTTTACAATAATATAGCTTATACATTAGAATAACACATAGGCTATAAATTTCACACGGGTGAAACCGCGGTCATAGTTAATGTTATTATTATTATTATAACATTTTATTGCACCAACATATAAAGGATATGAACAAAATTAAAAACATAAAAAAAAACTAAGTACAAAAGGCGGTCTTATCGCTAATGCAATCTCTTACAGACAACCTTGGAAAGAGAGTATTTAGAAAAAAATAGAGTAGATGGCGCATTAGTGGAAACAGAAAAATTATATACACTTATGTAAACAAAATATAGTACATACACAAATTTACATATATATACATACATATGAATACATACATATGAATACATACATATGAATATATAATAATGTAGTATACATAAAATAATTGTTAATGTATTTTTAAATAAAAAATATTAACATACCTAACAATGCCAGCTCTCGCATCGGCTATTAGCTTTCTCGCTCTCTCGCGTAGCATCACTTGTCTCTCTTCCTCTGTCATTGGCTGTGAAGCATAAAAATTCGTTATAATGAACATAATATACAAAATTATCAAAGAAAAAATTGTGCTTTTTTAACTTCAATATACTATTCTTTAACTTTTACAGGGTGGTTTTAACTTTTACCGACCTAGGTGGTCTTACGCATTAATAGCTAGTCTAATGTATGCTTGATGCAGGTATTTCCATACGCAGAGAGTTGATCAGAAATAATGAATATCACTTTTTTTGTCTTGGCCAAATTCGAACTTAGAACCTTTCGGTCTAAGACGGGGCTATATACCACTAAGCTACAACACTCTTCGGGTAATAATAAATACATAATATACACAATTGAAGTCTGTGGTTATGTCATGCAAAAGGCATGTCATCAAAAATGGACAATTTATAAAATTACTAGCTTTTGCCCGCGGCTTCGCTCGCGTTAATTTATACTCTTAGGATTGGAATTTATCAAAATCCTTTTTTAGGGTATGCCTACGTCATGGTAGCTTTATGCATGCAAAGTATCAGCCCGATCGGTTTAATATTGACAAAGTTTCATACAAACTTTCATCCCCAATTTTATCCCCTTTGGGGGTAGAATTAATCAAAATCCTTTCGTAATGGATGCCTACATCATAACATCTATCTGCATGCCAAATTTCAGCCCGATCCGTCCAGCGCTTTGGGCTGTGCGTTGTTAGATCACTACGTCAGTCACCTTTGAGTTATATTTAGATATATACGTACTTTTATAATCTAAATTAAAAATGAATAAATCTAGTCTAACTCTTACTCTACTCTAATCATCTATTATCCAACATAAGTTTTACCTAATAACTTTACTCAAATATGCTTACTGTGAACTAAACTCTATTTATAAGAAGCTATGAATCTAAATTACTCCGTTACATACCTTTTTAGGACTCATCTCTCCGTTTCTAAGTCCGTTCACAATCTCACTCTTTGCTTCTTCGTTTTCTTTGGAATTTTGCCTTCTATTTCTCTCTTTTTCTCTAGCCTCTTTTTTTGTAGCTTCGAGCAACTGTCTCGCTCGCTCTTTCAACTCATCGTGGCGAGACAATAATTGCTACATCAGCCAATTACATAAAGGCAGTATCCATCGGCCAATGAGATTGAAGCATTCCAAAGCGCGGCAACGTCGACCAATTAGAAGCGTTGATTTCGTCCAATCACAAGCGTTCATCATATTTTCCAATGAAGCGTTGTTGGCGGCACACGCACACACAATTCGAAAGCCATGTGGATGAGAATGAAATGAAATATAATTGTATTCCATAGTAATTGAATACATAATGATTGGAAGCTTGAAACACAGTAGCCAAATATTCTATTAGCGATTAATATAATCTGGATTTCTATTATAATTATGTAATAATTACGTAAAAATAAATAGAATACTGGACAACTGTATTATAATGAAGGGGATATGCAGAAACGATACAATGCCTCTTGTAGCTCAAACAAACCACATTAACCCAATAAATTGACAACTATTTTCTGTAGAATCATTAATAATTTTGTACCTGTAAAACTATGTATTTATTTGGAAATCTAAAACATTTGCCTTACGTGTCATATTTGAGTACGTCCGTCATTCACTTCCTATATTAATAAATTGGTTTGGTTTGAGACTAGATGGCGCTGTTATATGTTATGTACGAAACTGATTAATATTAATATGGACTTGCCAAAACCATTTCTAGTGACACGAAACAACTATCATACAAGATCTGATTTAAAAAATGTACTAATTATTAAATTGGTTATTTATATCTATTATTAAAAAAATAACACAAGGAAATATAAGTACATTAATTTTGAATATTAGGTATTAATTAAAAATGTATTTACGGAAACTTCTTTTAAAGTTGAAATTACAATGCATTGAAAACATGATGGAATTTAAATTTTTGTATTTACAATTTAAAATATTTAATAGGGTATATGAAAGTATTTTTATATATTACATAACATAACATAAGTAAATTAAAAAATGAGCAATTTAAACGCCGGTGAGTATCATAATTAGATATTAAAAAAAATGCATAGATTAAACTTACACTCCGCATTACAGGTCTTTAAAAAAACTATAAACTACTGTTTTTTAATGCCAAATTCAAATGATAGTGATATACAGATTTTCAAAATTCAAATTCCATCTAGTTTATCAGTCACTCAACTATTATAAAAAAAAAACAAAAGTACTGACATTTGACTACACAAATAAACAAAAACCGTCTAATTGCGGACTCCCTTATACAATTTACCACACAACACGATATGGTACGATTTTGTCGTCACTATACAGTACGAATACAAAATATATATAAAAAAGGTTTCTTAACGTCATGCACGTGAATGTCAGGCTACCCACGACTATTGTTGGACCCGTAATGACGTTAACACTTTAACTGCTGAGACTGAAACTCACGTTTCGGTGTCTACATCGAGAGTAACTTTTAATGCTGTTGGCTGCAGCTGGCCTTTACAGATTCAGCGGACGATAGGGGGCGAGTGCAGATGGCACTCCAAACCAAAGGAAGGACTTATGGAGAAGCTGAAGGATAACTACTTCAAATCAAAATCAAAATATCTTTATTCGTGTAAATCTATTACAGACTCTTATGAGTACAACTGACAAGAAACTCATCTCTTATTCTTTTCAAACGAGTTTGTACAATATTAAAAAAGTACAGATTCATTTTTAAATTTAAATTTGGGAGAATAGATTGACCACCAGGATATGCTATTGCAATTTTGCCAAAAGGAAATAGTCTAATCAGTGTACGTCACACGAAGAGACCAGACCCCATAAGCAGCACTGCCTGACGATAACCAATTTGGCTGAGGGCAGTGCACCACTTCGGCTCAAGCCGTCGTCGTCAATCCGAGGGGATCGTACCTAACTCGAAGCGACTAGTATTTACGTATGGAGAGAGCGCGCCAAGCAGCTAGGCGAGTTAACAAGCTAGTACTCACCGCTTAAGTGCTAGTACAGTTGAGTCCATATATACGATACGACCTATGTGGTCTAGCGGTGTAGCACAGCGCTTTCCTTCCAATGGTCGCAGGTTCGATTCCTCGTACAGCGCAAACATTTGTATTTTTGAGTACGATTGTTTGTATCGGTCTAGGTGTTTACTATGTATTATCATGTATATACTTTCAAAGAAAACCTATCTAGGTATATCCATCAGTTGTCTAGTACCCATAACACAAACTCTGCTTAGCTTGGACTGGATGGCGTCATGTGAATTGTCCAGGGATATTATTATTGTACGAGGCAGCACAGCCAGCTTCTCTACGGTTAGCACAGCAGCTAAAGTGTTAATATCGTTCAGTATATCATAAAAGCGTTCTGGTTACGATTCTCTTTCACATACGATAAGGTCACGAGATGAAATGAAAATTACTTTCAGGTAAAATAAAAAAGCAACAGACTAATTATAGTAAACTAAATCGTAACAATATCGTGAATAAGCGCAACTGATGCGACCGCACTGACTGGTACAGCGAGTGGTCCGTGACACGCTTAGATGGACTCAGATTGGCGCATTTGGATGCTAAGCCCCGCCCTCTTAGTAGATGCGCCAATCAGAACCTTACTAACCTTAGTAGCCTAACAGAGGAAATCATTGTCATTTTATCATGCATATAAATCTATGTAACACGCCATTTATTACTGTATTAGTTAAATAAATATTTATCTAGAGTAAGATTTGAGTACCTACATAGGGAAGAAAAGCTCGAAATAAATGTAGGTATGTTTTGGTGTACAATATATTGCTAACAATGAAAACCCTCTGAGTCAAATCTGCCATCTTAGGATATTCATCTTATCCTGTAATTTCTGATGGGTAAGTGACGCGTCAACATCGACAATCTTTAGTTCAGTATAGACAGTAATGTACAGAGTATCAATAGTCGTATTTAGGGGAGAAGGGGATTATTAGTAATGTGGACTCACGACCCCATTACTAGCAATGTGTCAGGTTGACCTCCACTCGCTTCCTGGAAACCATCGTGATAAATTTCTTGTGAATTTGTCACGATGGGCTAACTGACCTAACATCATGTTCAACTTATCATCCTCCACTGGTACCCCGCCAGCGTATACCGTTAGCACAGGCAGGTGCACCATTCCATTATCATATAAAAAAAACGCTGTGGTTTAGACAGTGCGGTCGCAATTACTGGTCTATTTCCCCTAGCAGGATGTAACGATACAGAAGCCAAACTGTAGGTTTAAGGGGTGAACTCACCGGCGTGGGACGCGGCAATTCCGGGGGTGAAGCAACCCCTGCAGGGGCTGAGATAGACGTAGCCTCCACACTCGGGGTGTGATCTGTACTAGATTCAATTTTAGCATTGTTCTCCAGCTGCGGTGGACTGCTATTACTGATGGTCTGCTGGGGTTGTTCCTCTTCATCGTCAGATCCGAATGGGTCCGTTAGTTCCTTGCGTGTCATCAACTTCTCCGGCCTCGCTGGTAATGGCTGAAATATGATCAAGTACAGATATATGAAAAGGGAATAGTACCAGATAATAATAATACTCGTTATTGTGCATCAAACAATATTTACAAAAAAGAACTTAATATAAAAATATGCAAACAAAAGACATATTATATATATAGACAACTATGGCCACAGATATAGCTTGCTTATTATCTAGGTTTGCTCAACCACATTGTAGAATCACCTTCCAGTGATTGGTAATTCCTAACCGATAGGATGTTGAAGCGTTCAAAAAAATATTTTATTCCTCTTTAAAAGGCCGGCAACGCACTTGCAATTCGTCTGGTATTGAGGGTTCTCATAAGCGGCGGTAATCACTTACCATCAGGTAATCTGCAAGCTCGTTTATCCTGTAATATTAAAAAATAAATGAGTCCATAAAAGACACATGTTTCTAACCTCGGTAACTTTCAAAGGATCCGCGAACCACTTGGCCGAAGGTTTCTCCCTCTGATCGCGTGCAGGTGACAGCATCTTGCCGAGTATCGTCTTGGACTGTTGCAAGAACAGGTCCCTCACGTCCTTGATGGCGGTCGGAGAACTTGGCTTGTCGGGGGTGGACCGCTCTTGTGAATGTTTCGACTCTTGCGACTCTTGTGAACTGTTATATGAGAAATTGTCATTAATATTGAGAATTAGAAATGACTTATTTTTTTTATATTATCATGGTCGCAAATAAGCATACGGTCTATCTGATGGTAAATGGTTATCGTAGCCTATGGACGCCTGAAATACCAAGGGTGTTACGTGGGCGTTGTCGATCCTTAAGAAACCTTCATATATCATTCTTGAAAACATCATGCTGTTCTCTCTAGAAATTTTCTGCAGATTAATAATAATAAATAATAATGTCCCTGGAAAATACACACAAAACCATCTAGTCCGAAGATGATAAATATAGGAAAAACAAAAAAAAAAGAGGCGGGTGACCTTTATTATTAGGGATATAAAATTATATAACAACCTAATCTCAAACCTACCGAGTATACATAAAAATTTCATCAATGGCGGTTAAGTTGTTTCGGAGATGTATAACAACCGACACTGTGCCACGAGAATTTCATGCATATCGAAAACGCCCAGATCAATCCTGTTCATGAATTCAAATATTCGCACCGGCTGAAAATCGAACCCGCAATCAGCCGAGCGTGTGCGAAACCGCCGGGCCAGCGAGGCCGTCAACGGAGTCAGTGAAATATGTGAGGCGGCGACTCACTGGGGGCGGGGCCGGGCGAGGAGGGTCCTGGAGCGGCGCGCGGCCACCTCCCGGGTGAACAGCTCGGCCGGCACCGACCCGTCCGTGTCGTGACGACCCACCAGGTACGACGACTCCGTCTCCTCGTTACCTACCACCCACATATTATTACACTCTACCACTCGCTATCCAACTACTACTTCATGGATTTATATTATGTTTATATTGTGAATTCAACTTAATGAATTCGGTCATTGATTAAAAGCTAAGTTAGGATTGTTGTAAACTCGGAAAGATGACGAATTATAGATATTAATAATAATATAACATATAAATAATAATAATAGATTTGATAGCATACTCCTAAATTCCACCAAATATTGGAATTATATGTATGAATTTCTTTATTGTATGAATTTAGCAAACCATTACATATATGAATTGAATGCATTTCCAAGTCATACATATAATGGTTTGCTAAATTTATATTAGTTCATAAATTTAGGTAAGCTCCAACTCTCGCAATAAATAAATTGTTTCCAAAACTGACACGATGCTTGTGTAATGCCAAGAAAGAAGTAACATAAGTGTTTATTGCATACATCCTAATACGATATTCATATATCGACATATTTCCATAAAGACCACACACTCACCTAATTGTTCTACTTGCAATTCTTTCCCAGTGAAGTGCGTACGCAGTTGGAATAGATACGTCATTATCTGGAAGTAAACGAAAATATATGAGAAAAAGAAATTAAATGCGATAAATTGTGTTTCTTAAAAGTTGACAATACGCACGTGACAGCCCTGGTGTTTTAGGCGTTCATAGGGTATGGTAACCGATTACTATCAGGTACGCCGTATGCTTATTTTCCTCCTTGCCTTGGTGCGAGTGTACCGACCGCGAGTCGGTCGAGTGCGAGTGTACCGACCGCGAGTCGGTCGAGTGCGAGTGTACCGACCGCGAGTCTGTCGGCCGCGAGTGTACTGACCGCGAGTCTGTCGAGTGCGAGTGTACCGACCGCGAGTCGGTCGAGTGCGAGTGTACCGACCGCGAGTCTGTCGGCCGCGAGTCTGTCGGCCGCGAGTCTGTCGGCCGCGAGTCTGTCGGCCGCGAGTCTGTCGGCCGCGAGTGTACCGACCGCGAGTGTGTCGGCCGCGCGTGTACTGACCGCGAGTCTGTCGGCCGCGCGAGTGTGTCGGCCGCTTGTGTACTGACCGCGAGTCTGTCGGCCGCGAGTTCGTCGGCCGCGAGTCTGTCGGCCGCGAGTCTGTCGGCCGCGAGTCTGTCGGCCGCGAGTGTACCGACCGCGAGTCGGTCGAGTGCGAGTGTACCGACCGCGAGTCGGTCGAGTGCGAGTGTACCGACCGCGAGTCGGTCGAGTGCGAGTGTACCGACCGCGAGTCTGTCGGCCGCGAGTGTACCGACCGCGAGTCGGTCGAGTGCGAGTGTACCGACCGCGAGTCTGTCGGCCGCGAGTGTACCGACCGCGAGTCGGTCGAGTGCGAGTGTACCGACCGCGAGTCTGTCGGCCGCGAGTCTGTCGGCCGCGAGTGTACCGACCGCGAGTCGGTCGAGTGCAAGTGTACCCACCGCGAGTCGGTCGAGTGCGAGTGTACCGACCGCGAGTCGGTCGAGTGCGAGTGTACCGACCGCGAGTCTGTCGGCCGCGAGTGTACCGACCGCGAGTCGGTCGAGTGCGAGGGTACCGACCGCGAGTCGGTCGAGTGCGAGTGTACCGACCGCGAGTCGGTCGAGTGCGAGTGTACCGACCGCGAGTCTGTCGGCCGCGAGTCTGTCGGCCGCGAGTGTACCGACCGCGAGTCGGTCGAGTGCAAGTGTACCCACCGCGAGTCGGTCGAGTGCGAGTGTACCGACCGCGAGTCGGTCGAGTGCGAGTGTACCGACCGCGAGTCTGTCGGCCGCGAGTCTGTCGGCCGCGAGTCTGTCGGCCGCGAGTGTACCGACCGCGAGTCGGTCGAGTGCGAGTGTACCGACCGCGAGTCGGTCGAGTGCGAGTGTACCGACCGCGAGTCGGTCGAGTGCGAGTGTACCGACCGCGAGTCGGTCGAGTGCGAGTGTACCCACCGCGAGTCGGTCGGGTGCGAGTGTACCGACCGCGAGTCGGTCGAGTGCGAGTGTACCGACCGCGAGTCTGTCGGCCGCGAGTCTGTCGGCCGCGAGTCTGTCGGCCGCGAGTCTGTCGGCCGCGAGTCTGTCGGCCGCGAGTGTACCGACCGCGAGTCGGTCGAGTGCGAGTGTACCGACCACGAGTCTGTCGGCCGCGAGTCTGTCGGCCGCGAGTCTGTCGGCCGCGAGTCTGTCGGCCGCGAGTCTGTCGGCCGCGAGTCTGTCGGCCGCGAGTGTACCGACCGCGAGTCGGTCGAGTGCGAGTGTACCCACCGCGAGTCGGTCGAGTGCGAGTGTACCGACCGCGAGTCGGTCGGGTGCGAGTGTACCGACCGCGAGTCGGTCGAGTGCGAGTGTACCGACCGCGAGTCGGTCGAGTGCGAGTGTACCGACCGCGAGTCTGTCGGCCGCGAGTGTACTGACCGCGAGTCTGTCGGGCGCGAGTGTACTGACCGCGAGTGTGTCGGCCGCGAGAGAACTGACCGCGAGTGTGTCGGCCGCGAGTGTACTGACCGCGAGTCTGTCGGCCGCGAGTGTACTGACCGCGAGTCTGTCGGCCGCGAGTGTACTGACCGCGAGTCTGTCGGCCGCGAGTGTACTGACCGCGAGTCTGTCGGCCGCGAGTGTACTGACCGCGAGTCTGTCGGCCGCGAGTGTACTGACCGCGAGTCGGTCGAGTGCGAGTGTACCCACCGCGAGTCGGTCGAGTGCGAGTGTACCGACCGCGAGTCGGTCGAGTGCGAGTGTACCGACCGCGAGTCGGTCGAGTGCGAGTGTACCGACCGCGAGTCTGTCGGCCGCGAGTCTGTCGGCCGCGAGTCTGTCGGCCGCGAGTGTACCGACCGCGAGTCGGTCGAGTGCGAGTGTACCGACCGCGAGTCGGTCGTGTGCGAGTGTACCGACCGCGAGTCGGTCGAGTGCGAGTGTACCGACCGCGAGTCGGTCGAGTGCGAGTGTACCGACCGCGAGTCTGTCGGCCGCGAGTGTACCGACCGCGAGTCTGTCGGGCGGGTGTGTACTGCCCGCGTGTGTGTAGGCCGCGTGTGTACTGACCGCGAGTCTGTCGGCCGCGAGTCTGTCGGCCGCGAGTGTACCGACCGCGAGTCGGTCGAGTGCGAGTGTACCCACCGCGAGTCGGTCGAGTGCGAGTGTACCGACCGCGAGTCGGTCGAGTGCGAGTGTACCGACCGCGAGTCTGTCGGCCGCGAGTCTGTCGGCCGCGAGTCTGTCGGCCGCGAGTCTGTCGGCCGCGAGTCTGTCGGCCGCGAGTGTACCGACCGCGAGTCGGTCGAGAGCGAGTGTACAGACCGCGAGTCGGTCGTGTGCGAGTGTACCGACCGCGAGTCTGTCGGCCGCAAGTCTGTCGGCCGCGAGTCTGTCGGCCGCGAGTCTGTCGGCCGCGAGTGTACCGACCGCGAGTCGGTCGAGTGCGAGTGTACCCACCGCGAGTCGGTCGAGTGCGAGTGTACCGACCGCGAGTCGGTCGAGTGCGAGTGTACCGACCGCGAGTCGGTCGAGTGCGAGTGTACCGACCGCGAGTCGGTCGAGTGCGAGTGTACCGACCGCGAGTCTGTCGGCCGCGAGTGTACTGACCGCGAGTCTGTCGGGCGCGAGTGTACTGACCGCGAGTGTGTCGGCCGCGAGTGTACTGACCGCGAGTGTGTCGGCCGCGAGTGTACTGACCGCGAGTGTGTCGGCCGCGAGTGTACTGACCGCGAGTCTGTCGGCCGCGAGTGTACTGACCGCGAGTCTGTCGGCCGCGAGTGTACTGACCGCGAGTCTGTCGGCCGCGAGTGTACTGACCGCGAGTCTGTCGGCCGCGAGTGTACTGACCGCGAGTCTGTCGGCCGCGAGTGTACTGACCGCGAGTCTGTCGGCCGCGAGTGTACTGACCGCGAGTCTGTCGGCCGCGAGTGTACTGACCGCGAGTCTGTCGGCCGCGAGTGTACTGACCGCGAGTCTGTCGGCCGCGAGTGTACTGACCGCGAGTCTGTCGGCCGCGAGTGTACTGACCGCGAGTCTGTCGGCCGCGAGTGTACTGACCGCGAGTCTGTCGGCCGCGAGTGTACTGACCGCGAGTCTGTCGGCCGCGAGTGTACTGACCGCGAGTCTGTCGGCCGCGAGTGTACTGACCGCGAGTCTGTCGGCCGCGAGTGTACTGACCGCGAGTGTGTCGGCCGCGAGTGTACTGACCGCGAGTCTGTCGGCCGCGAGTGTACTGACCGCGAGTGTGTCGGCCGCGAGTGTACTGACCGCGAGTCTGTCGGCCGCGAGTGTACTGACCGCGAGTCTGTCGGCCGCGAGTGTACTGACCGCGAGTCTGTCGGCCGCGAGTGTACTGACCGCGAGTCTGTCGGGCGCGAGTGTACTGACCGCGAGTCTGTCGGCCGCGAGTGTACTGACCGCGAGTGTGTCGGGCGCGAGTGTACTGACCGCGAGTGTGTCGGCCGCGAGTGTACCGACCGCGAGTCGGTCGAGTGCGAGTGTACCCACCGCGAGTCGGTCGGGTGCGAGTGTACCGACCGCGAGTTGGTCGAGTGCGAGTGTACCGACCGCGAGTCTGTCGGCCGCAAGTCTGTCGGCCGCGAGTCTGTCGGCCGCGAGTCTGTCGGCCGCGAGTCTGTCGGCCGCGAGTGTACCGACCGCGAGTCGGTCGAGTGCGAGTGTACCCACCGCGAGTCGGTCGAGTGCGAGTGTACCGACCGCGAGTCGGTCGGGTGCGAGTGTACCGACCGCGAGTCGGTCGAGTGCGAGTGTACCGACCGCGAGTCGGTCGAGTGCGAGTGTACCGACCGCGAGTCTGTCGGCCGCGAGTGTACTGACCGCGAGTCTGTCGGGCGCGAGTGTACTGACCGCGAGTGTGTCGGCCGCGAGTGTACTGACCGCGAGTGTGTCGGCCGCGAGTGTACTGACCGCGAGTGTGTCGGCCGCGAGTGTACTGACCGCGAGTCTGTCGGCCGCGAGTGTACTGACCGCGAGTCTGTCGGCCGCGAGTGTACTGACCGCGAGTGTGTCGGCCGCGAGTGTACTGACCGCGAGTCTGTCGGCCGCGAGTGTACTGACCGCGAGTCTGTCGGCCGCGAGTGTACTGACCGCGAGTCTGTCGGCCGCGAGTGTACTGACCGCGAGTCTGTCGGCCGCGAGTGTACTGACCGCGAGTCTGTCGGCCGCGAGTGTACTGACCGCGAGTGTGTCGGGCGCGAGTGTACTGACCGCGAGTGTGTCGGGCGCGAGTGTACTGACCGCGAGTCTGTCGGCCGCGAGTGTACTGACCGCGAGTCTGTCGGCCGCGAGTGTACTGACCGCGAGTGTGTCGGGCGCGAGTGTACTGACCGCGAGTGTGTCGGCCGCGAGTGTACTGACCGCGAGTCTGTCGGCCGCGAGTGTACTGACCGCGAGTCTGTCGGCCGCGAGTGTACTGACCGCGAGTGTGTCGGCCGCGAGTGTACTGACCGCGAGTCTGTCGGGCGCGAGTGTACTGACCGCGAGTCTGTCGGGCGCGAGTGTACTGACCGCGAGTCTGTCGGCCGCGAGTGTACTGACCGCGAGTGTGTCGGCCGCGAGTGTACTGACCGCGAGTCTGTCGGCCGCGAGTGTACTGACCGCGAGTCTGTCGGCCGCGAGTGTACTGACCGCGAGTCTGTCGGGCGCGAGTGTACTGACCGCGAGTCTGTCGGCCGCGAGTGTACTGACCGCGAGTGTGTCGGCCGCGAGTGTACTGACCGCGAGTCTGTCGGCCGCGAGTGTACTGACCGCGAGTCTGTCGGCCGCGAGTGTACTGACCGCGAGTGTGTCGGCCGCGAGTGTACTGACCGCGAGTCTGTCGGGCGCGAGTGTACTGACCGCGAGTCTGTCGGCCGCGAGTGTACTGACCGCGAGTCTGTCGGCCGCGAGTGTACTGACCGCGAGTGTGTCGGCCGCGAGTGTACTGACCGCGAGTCTGTCGGGCGCGAGTGTACTGACCGCGAGTCTGTCGGGCCGCGAGTGTACTGACCGCGAGTGTGTCGGCCGCGAGTGTACTGACCGCGAGTCTGTCGGCCGCGAGTGTACTGACCGCGAGTCTGTCGGCCGCGAGTGTACTGACCGCGAGTGTGTCGGCCGCGAGTGTACTGACCGCGAGTCTGTCGGCCGCGAGTGTACTGACCGCGAGTCTGTCGGCCGCGAGTGTACTGACCGCGAGTCTGTCGGCCGCGAGTGTACTGACCGCGAGTCTGTCGGCCGCGAGTGTACTGACCGCGAGTGTGTCGGCCGCGAGTGTACTGACCGCGAGTCTGTCGGGCGCGAGTGTACTGACCGCGAGTCTGTCGGCCGCGAGTGTACTGACCGCGAGTCTGTCGGCCGCGAGTGTACTGACCGCGAGTGTGTCGGCCGCGAGTGTACTGACCGCGAGTCTGTCGGGCGCGAGTGTACTGACCGCGAGTCTGTCGGCCGCGAGTGTACTGACCGCGAGTGTGTCGGCCGCGAGTGTACTGACCGCGAGTCTGTCGGCCGCGAGTGTACTGACCGCGAGTCTGTCGGCCGCGAGTGTACTGACCGCGAGTGTGTCGGCCGCGAGTGTACTGACCGCGAGTCTGTCGGCCGCGAGTGTACTGACCGCGAGTCTGTCGGCCGCGAGTGTACTGACCGCGAGTCTGTCGGGCGCGAGTGTACTGACCGCGAGTCTGTCGGCCGCGAGTGTACTGACCGCGAGTGTGTCGGGCGCGAGTGTACTGACCGCGAGTGTGTCGGCCGCGAGTGTACTGACCGCGAGTCTGTCGGCCGCGAGTGTACTGACCGCGAGTGTGTCGGGCGCGAGTGTACTGACCGCGAGTGTGTCGGCCGCGAGTGTACTGACCGCGAGTCTGTCGGCCGCGAGTGTACTGACCGCGAGTCTGTCGGCCGCGAGTGTACTGACCGCGAGTGTGTCGGCCGCGAGTGTACTGACCGCGAGTCTGTCGGGCGCGAGTGTACTGACCGCGAGTCTGTCGGGCGCGAGTGTACTGACCGCGAGTCTGTCGGCCGCGAGTGTACTGACCGCGAGTCTGTCGGCCGCGAGTGTACTGACCGCGAGTCTGTCGGCCGCGAGTGTACTGACCGCGAGTCTGTCGGCCGCGAGTGTACTGACCGCGAGTCTGTCGGGCGCGAGTGTACTGACCGCGAGTCTGTCGGCCGCGAGTGTACTGACCGCGAGTGTGTCGGCCGCGAGTGTACTGACCGCGAGTCTGTCGGCCGCGAGTGTACTGACCGCGAGTCTGTCGGCCGCGAGTGTACTGACCGCGAGTGTGTCGGCCGCGAGTGTACTGACCGCGAGTCTGTCGGGCGCGAGTGTACTGACCGCGAGTCTGTCGGCCGCGAGTGTACTGACCGCGAGTGTGTCGGCCGCGAGTGTACTGACCGCGAGTCTGTCGGGCGCGAGTGTACTGACCGCGAGTCTGTCGGCCGCGAGTGTACTGACCGCGAGTGTGTCGGCCGCGAGTGTACTGACCGCGAGTCTGTCGGCCGCGAGTGTACTGACCGCGAGTCTGTCGGCCGCGAGTGTACTGACCGCGAGTCTGTCGGCCGCGAGTGTACTGACCGCGAGTCTGTCGGCCGCGAGTGTACTGACCGCGAGTCTGTCGGCCGCGAGTGTACTGACCGCGAGTGTGTCGGCCGCGAGTGTACTGACCGCGAGTCTGTCGGCCGCGAGTGTACTGACCGCGAGTGTGTCGGCCGCGAGTGTACTGACCGCGAGTGTGTCGGCCGCGAGTGTACTGACCGCGAGTCTGTCGGGCGCGGGCCGCGCGAGCACGTCTGCCGCACACAACACCTGCGGCACCCCGAGCCTCGCGCCGGCCTCCAGCGCCGCTCGCACGCACTGCTCCGCGTCGTCCGGCTGCAGACCCGAGAAGTCGCTGCAGACAGACGTACACATAGTAAAGGAGCGTGCACGCGATTCGGTTTCCACAGAAAAGATTGTGAAGGAATTAAAGAAAAAGATAGAACAGATAAAAAATGAGAACGAGGAAGACCACGCGCGCCTCTAGTTCGCGCTTTCACGCGTCTTTTAATCGTGTGTGCTTTAAAAATCAACCACTACATTTTTGGTCCCTCGAGCCGGATAACTAAAGTGTCCTTTTGTATTCATTAGTTATCCAGCTGGAGGGACCAGAAAATGTAGTGGTTGATTTTTAAAGCACACACGATTAAAAGACGCGTGAAAGCGCGAACTAGAGGCGCGCGTGGTCTCTGAAATAGAATGTACAAAAAATAGACTAATTCAACCAATCACAATTGCGCGTTTGCTTTTGACTTCCTTAATCTATCAAAAGCGTCCAATAATTTTAAAATTTGACAGCGTCCATATTCTCAGTAAAAATATCGTTTCTTTATTTATTCAAGTAAATTTTTTGTAACTGATACAATAATGTATAGAAAGAAACGATCGCCTAAGTATCCTCTATGGGACACAGTCACCTAGATATATAAAATAATAATTGCATTTAATAATGTCTAGTAAGACAAATTCAATATTGTCTACTAGGCACTGCTGTATCTAAACTGTGTCACCCCACCTTACATTTTCCTACTTTTATTTAGTATATAAGATCATTATTTTTATGTACACATTGTCAGTTTATCATCATCAGTAATATACATCGTCTCGACCAGCAACATCGTAATATTCACCCGCAACAGTGGTGACCCCGACGTGATCTGGCCGACGTGGTCGAGACGATACCTGGGAAAACGACGAGATCAAACAAGAGATCTCTGTCTGACGGCATCCTGCGCACCACCAACGATTGCACATTTCCACCGGCTTCCCAGAAGCGGGTCTCACCGGCTCGGAAATTCAAGAGGCATAAAAGTCGTTGGCAATACTGCGCAACAAGGATCCTGCCGTGCTACTGACCCCCAGTAAACACAACTGCCTGCTGGATATAATCACTGGACGAAAAATTGAAACAGGAAAAATAAAGCAAAAATGCTGTCTACAAAAGTACAGCCAACAGTCACCGCCGACGTCATTGCACACCTGTCGTCACTAATTGCAACACTGCGATCAGAAATTGCTGATATACGCGAAAAGCGCTCGCCACACACAAACAGACGCAGCAACTACCGATCTAGGTCAAATTCGCACCTACGGTCATTGCATAGTCAGAAAAATGACTATTATTTATATTATATCATCGCAAATATAAAGAAAAGGCATACAAATGTGACATGCCGCGCTCCTATAGACAACCGTCGGAAAACTAGATTCGATGCAGAATAAGACGGAACGCTGTGCTGTTCATCCGTCTAACCGCCTAGCTATAACCGACTCTAACAGTGGCTATAGAATGTTGGTGGACACCGGAGCAAAAATCTCGGTGAATAAAAAACAAGCACAGACCAAAGAGCGCTAGCGAAATCAAATTATTCGCCGCAAACAATTAAAATGAGCAAATGCGAGTTCTTCACAAAGGTTAGATTTTCTTGGTTATCATATAACGAGCCAAGGGATGAAACCAACGCAAGAAAAATGGCAAGCAATCGACGTGTACCCTAAACCCACGACAGTCGAAGATTTACGTCGTTATTTGAGTATAATGAATTTTTATTGTTACTAAAGTGCATAATATCTTAAATTTTACAGTTAACTTTTATAATTTTTTTGTTTAATATATATATTTTTTTTTTTTCTCTCAAGGGGGAATTTCTATGGGACACAGTCACCTAGATATATAAAATAATAATTGCATTTAATAATGTCTAGTAAGACAAATTCAATATTGTCTACTAGGCACTGCTGTATCTAAACTGTGTCACCCCACCTTACATTTTCCTACTTTTATTTAGTATATAAGATCATTATTTTTATGTACACATTGTCAGTTTATCATCATATGTAATACACATCGTCTCGACCAGCAACATCGTAATATTCACCCGCAACATCCTCAAACTAGTTTCTTTCCGGAGTTTCACAAGGCAAAGTATTAGGTCCTCTCCTGTTTCATACAGCACTTAGTAAGGTCTCGATGTGTATACTAATTACAGAACATTGAATAATGCAACTTACATAAGGTCAGGCCGGAATCGATGTATGATTGCGCAGAATGCAAGTCCTGATCGAAAACTGGTGGTCAGATTGGTGATCCGACACGATTTGTATTCCCGCGTCACACTCTGGCACCACTCCAGCAGATCTTGTACCTTGACAAACATTTAAGGTTCTAAAATGACTGAGAAACAGTGGTCAAAGCAACAAATGCGATCTGAAAAACCTTTCACACTCAGTTCTCTTTGTTGACTTGAAAGATGTGGCATTAGAAACAGATTTTTCTTAAGTGATGGCTCACCTGATGGTAAATGATAACTATTGTCTTAAGACAGGAACAGTATGTCCGTAGGACATCACGTTATCAGGTAACAACCGCTTATCTGTAGTCTTCCGGAGGACGTAATAAAGACGTCATAGCCCTTGTCCTATAATTTTTCTGTCTTATCTGATCGTACAACCAAAAAAGCAAGCTGCTTGACAATCAAAATACAATGACATTGAGGTACCCAAGCAGATAATTTTTAGTCTACATCGGATGTTATTAGCATATCACAAAAACCATATTACTACTTACTGGGGTTTTGTCCTTATCTAACTTCTCCGGGAAAGCTTTATCTACATTTTCAACCTCTGCAGTCGGCGTTTTATCGCTATCTTCATTCTCATTGTCGTTCTTGTCCAAAGTTATATTATTCAAATTAGTCTTAAACTCCAACGGCTTAAGGCTGGTTTTTGCTATCGTTTTAGCTTTAAACACTGGCGGACCTTTCATATTATCTATTTTACTATCTGTCACTATATGATTAGTATTTTTATTGGGAGTCGATGTAAATTTAGGCTGTTCGGTTTTCATCGCCAATTTCGTTAAATTACTAAGGAATTCAGGTCTGGATTTAGATGTATGCGATTCGAAGTTTAGTTCCGTTTCGAGGGGAGTCATGTCTCTAGGCACGGGGGTGATAGGGTCGTCTGTCTCGGGGGTGATGGGTGCAGTTGGGGTTCGGGAGTTGTCAAAGTTTAGGCTTTGAACGCTGTTGGGTGTGGCCGCTATATCGCTATTGGTTAGACTCTGCGTCATTTCTTCCATTTGTTGTCGAAGATCAAACATCTGTGGACAATAATAATTTAGTTACTATAAATCTATACCTTAATAACTATATTAGTATAAATGAAGCCTTAATAAGCATCAATTCACGGAAACTAAAACAGGGACATTTTATTAATATTTTATATATTTTCAATAAAGAAATTAGAAAGGAAATCATTATATGTACAACAACTAAAGAGGATAGTCGATTGCCCTGATATTTTAGAAATAGTACTTAGTATATTGCTATTGTGATATAGTGATGCAAATCAGCACGTTCGATAGTAGATTGTGCCATTGTACGTTTTATATAACGACACGTATGTCACGCAGTTGATCATATATATAGTTTATGTAATTAGTGTAAGCTAGAGTAATTCAAGATGTAACAGTTAATATACAAGTTACACCCTACTGTGTGTGTTTACTCTCACCACCGGTCCTGTCATCACACTATATATATTATTTCTATAATGATATTCTAGAAATAATATACCTGACTAATATACCTGCCCTGAAGGGCATTGCAGGTAATTGCATGCTATGTGTACTAGATGTACACACAGCATGCAATTACTACTTACTTAATGTAGGATGTATTACTTAAATAGTTTATTTTATCTGTGTAAATTTATGTTCCTTGTAAGATGTCCAGTTGCCCTATTTTTAATAGCGATATTAGAACTTAAATTTACATGGCATAACAACGTTTGCCGCGACAGTTAGTTTATCTCATAAAACTAGTATTCAATACGAGATCAAATATATTTATTATTCTGTATATTTAATCGTGTACAAACCTGTCTTGTAGAGTTATCTGATAACGTGTAGTCATCTTCGTCGAGATCTTCCAACACTGCAATGTCCGAGTTATTGTTAACTGATAATAGTGATGCCAATGACTGCATATCCTCATCCCTAGAAACAACAACGTCTTTTTTACAAAACTGTTTCTTCTTCAAAGGCTCTGTTTTATATTATGTATATGCTTTTGTGGAGAAAAATAAATATATATTATATTAGCTGTGCACGCGACTTAATCTGCGTGTTATAGTGACCTTGACCAAATAAATAGAAGTTTCATCGTTCTAGCTTCTAAAATGACGACGATTATACATACAAACTTTCATTCCCTATTTTATTTTACATCCTTAAGGGTAACATTTTTACAAACTTTGTATGACATATTTATTTATATTTAATTAACAGCTTAAAAAATAAGTTTCAAGCTTCTCGCTTTAAAAATGACAATTCTTCCATACAAACTTCCATCTACCCTTTCAACCCCTTACAACCATTTTACGCATTAAAAAATAGCCTATATCCTTTCAGGGTCTAGACTATCTATGTACCAATTTTCATTCAAATAGGTTCAGTAATTTTGGCGTAAAAGCGAGACAGACACTTACTTTCGTATTTATAATATTAGTACGGACATTTTACAGAACTCGAATGTTAATTTGCGGACGTCCATTTCACTACTTAATGATAATATTATTTTATTTAATTCCGCTACAATTATCATGTTTGACACCTATATTGCAAATTTCCACACTAAATATTTGTGGTCTCACACATGCTAATTCCTGCGGAATGAAATAAAATAATACAAAATTCTTAAGCAGGCCAAGATCTTCAAAAGAAAAACTAAACAAATAATAATATAACTTACGTAGCCTGTCCCTCTCTCAACAATACACAATGTAACGTGAGATGAATAGATGCTGCGGTGATCTTCTGCGTGGTTGGGTCTAAAGTCAGCACCAGAGGCCGCTGTGACGGTTCCAAACTTGCATATTTACGCATGTTGATTGCGCATACGGCCAGTCTTCTACGTTTGCCTGTTGCTGAAACCTGTAGAATAGTAAGAATAATTATATATTCATTTATTTAAAAAAAATATATAATATATATATATATATATATAGATTTATAGACAAACTTGCTGTTACTAAGATTTGTTTAGAAAAAGTCAATGGGTCTTTTATGGGAATGGGTATAAAAATACATACCTTAAATACATGCCTACAATTTACAATACAATACAGAAGCATATGCTAGAATTACCTTTAAATAAATTCAAAATATTTGTTAAAACTTTTCGGACATTTTAACCGCTTATGAACGTTAATTTTTTTTTACTACTGTCCAGTTCAGTATACAGATTCAATTGAGAAGAACTGGTGAGAAACCCAATTGAAATTCTTTATTTAAAAAAAAAGCCAGTTTATTTACATTGTGTCCTTATGTATGTGTGTATGTCTAACATTAAGTGAAAATCCCGTGCATAAACTACTATTGCCATGTACGTTTGCTATTTAATAAATAATTAATCGTTTTGTGTGTAATAGGTTTTGCTCAATAAATAAGATATAACTACTAAATAGATTTATGCTTACATCTTCTAATACGAAGGTCCAGTCTTTATCTTCCAGCTCGTTGGTGCGGGAGTCCTTGAACAAGGTCACTGCAACCGTGTGATTCTCAGGCATCGTGTAGATTACAGACCCTCTGGAACACAGTGACATATCATGTTATATATGAATGTACATGTATGTATGTATGTATAAATATGTATATATAAACTATACCCGCGACTTCGTCCGCGTTGAACCCAAGAAATACACATAAAAAAGTTTCATCATTCTAGCTTCAAAAATGCAAATTTCCATTCCATTCCATTTTATTTTTTTAAGGGTATTTTTTACAAACTTTTAATGTCAACCTCTTACAACCCTTTTTTCGCATTAAAATGTAGTCTATACCCATTTTTATGGTCTACTCAAATAATGTACCAAATTTCATTTAAATCAATTCCGTGGTTTTCGCGTGAATGCACGACAGACAGACAGACAGATTTACTTTAGCATTTATAATATCAGTAGCTAAGGTTAAAAAATAACTCAAAAAAACGAAATTGATAACCACAATTAACCCATTAATCAGAATATATCTGTAACATACATACATACATACATACAAACATACAAAGTTCATGTCAATAACCCGTACTAATAACCGTAACGGAGAGTTAGGCAAATATAATTTTATTATTATCTAGTGGTTAAGTGATGAGTAACCGTGTAAGGACAAATATGTCGATATTTTAATTAAAAAGGTTACACATTCAATCTAGTAATATTTATTGTATTATCTTTATATAGATAGAGCTTTTACCCGTGGCTTCGCTCGCATAACTTTTTACTGGCTGCTAGATGGCGCTGAAGTAGCATAATGTTGATATTTTATTTTTTTATTTCGTATAAAAAACATTTTTTTTTTTCAATAAAAAGTATTCTATGTTCATTCTCCAAGAATATGTGTACAAAATTTCATTATGATCGGTTTAGTAGTTTTTGCGTGAAAACGTAACAAATATCCCTACATCCCTACTTTCACATTTATAATATTAGTATTAGTAAGGATGATAGGGAAGTGATGACTAAAGAGTAAAGATAACTTATGTGGATATATGAAAAATTGTAATAAAATAGCTTTTAACAAAATAAATAATATTTTTAAAATAAAAATAGCCTAAGTCACTCCTTCTAGCATTAGCTTTCAGTGAGTGAAAGTCTCATCAAACAATCAATCTTCCAATATTATTTAAAAGAGCAACACACAGGTTTCTTGCTCATTCTTCTTGTGGTGAGACAGATTTCTGAATGAGCGGTAGATTTAAAAAACAAAAATGTTATGACTAATCAACATTAAACATAATGAGGTACAAATCTACTCACTTTAGGGGATCTTTTAACGACGGTTCCCATTCCCTTGGTTCTGTGATGACCCGACGAGATCGCCGCGTCCACACCAAACTCAGCTTGTTGGGTTTCCTGCAAAATACATTAATAAATTGTGTATAAGATTATAAACGTCGCCCGCCGTGTCTGTCTGTATGTTGACGACAATCTCACAAAGTACTGAACGGATTATAATGCGGTTTTGATTCATCAACAGAGTAATTTCTATGGCGGAATTCCCGTATGAAGCCAGGACATGTCGCTTGTAAAAAATATTCACCAGTACAGTATAGGTTCATATAAATTTTAATATTACATTTTTTTTCATGTAATGAAAGTCCCGTTAACATCGGTCCACCCATTCCAGTTATAAAATAAATTTATTGATGTAAGTACCGTACATAGTTTCATATGCACTTAGTAAAAAGCTATCTATTTGAAGTTAAAAACAGGCACTTAAGTTTTATTTATTTGTATAGATAAACTGTTAATATTAATGCTAATATACATTACTATTATTTATGAGTATTATTATATTATTTGTTTGATCTTATAATACTGTATATCAAATCAATGCAGAGATTCCGCAACATTGACTGAAAAACTGTTAATTTTAAATTACAAACAGACACAACCATTTTATATATATATAAATGTTTACCATTTAGGCGACGTGTCCAAGTCCACTCTGTGATATGAGGCCGTATACTGAAATTTTGCGGCACGCTTGTTGACGCGCTGCAGTCGCTTCCATACGGACGCCATAATCTTCACTGGAATATAAAAAAAATGTATTTAAAATAATAATAATAACAATATTGCAGTTATAGGTCGTGTTACATAATTAAGTTGTACATAAGAGTCAATACAATTTGAACATACAAGTGTAATTGTGCCATCTGAACTAGTATAGATTATACTACATCTCAGATTATATAGGTATATGGGGCCGTTCAAGTATTATGTAAGCAGATTTATTACAATTATTTACCCCCCCCCCATCCTCGTTGTCAGCAAAAGTAAGCAAAACTCTTACCCCCCCCCCCCCATGCTTACGGAAATATTTTTCAATTAATATATTGTTTTTTAGCAAAGACAATGTGAGGGTTGCCATTCGTATAAAAAAGTAAATAACTTCTGATGACGTAATCATCATCTAGACTTCCCCACCCCCCATGTCATCCAAAATAACCCCCCTCATAGTGCTTACGGAGCAATACTTGAACGGCCCCTATATATATATATATATATATGTATGTTACTATATATGTGTACCGTGAAGAGAAAAACATACTACACCGACCCCAAATAAATGGGATAAGGAATTATGATATGTATACCGTACTGGCAGTAATGATGACGATGATGACGATGATGATGATGATGATTGTGATGTATACGCGCGGCTAAGTCTGTTTTTTCTGACATATAAAATTATCATCTGCTTCTTCCTTGTCCTATTCCTATGTTTTTCTCTTCCATTCATCTCTGTTCGCAGTCATCTCGTTTTGACATATAAAATACCACAATAAAACGTAACTGTCTACCATCAGATGAGTCGTATGCTTGTTTGTCACCATACGACTCATCTGATGATTTTTGTTGTAAAAAAATCCCCAATGCGTGTGTATACCTAGTGATATAATCTATCTTATTGAAGTTGCTTCACATTTGACTGAAATATTTAATATGAGCATTGATCAAGGTATTTTTCCAGATCTAATGAAAGTGAGTAAAATAATACCGCTATTTAAATCCGGTGACAAAGACAATATATCAAATTTTAGACCTATCTCAATTTTACCAGTATTTAGTAAGATTTTTGAAAAGATACTACTTACACAAATGTTAGCTCATTTTAATACACATGATTTATTTCATAAACAGCAATTCGGATTTATGAGTGGACGGTCTACTACTGATGCAGGCATTAACTTAATACAAAGTATTTTCGGTGCCTGGGAAGATTCACAGGATGCCATTGGTGTCTTCTGTGATCTCTCTAAAGCGTTTGATTGCGTTGACCATAGGATATTATTACGCAAACTAGAACATTATGGAATTAGAGAAAAGTCCTCAGAACTCATTGGATCATATTTGCGCGATAGAATTCAAGTGGTAGACATTAAAGGAAGTAAGTCCAAGGGGTCATTTATAAAAATGGGTGTACCCCAGGGTTCTATACTTGGCCCATTTCTTTTTCTTGTTTACATAAACGACTTACCATACCAGTTTCAAAACATACTTGACATAGTATTGTTTGCTGATGACACATCACTTATTTTCAAAGTGAAAAGAAATACAAAGGATTTTAATAATATAAATATTGCTCTTGAGGATGTTCTAAACTGGTTTACATCAAATAATCTAGCGCTTAATTCAATGAAAACAAAATGTGTTAAATTCTCTTTACCAAATGTAAAACAAGTAACGACAACTGTTAGTCTGAATCATCATGTTTTGGACTTTGTTGATGAGACTTTGTTTCTTGGTATTGTAATAGATAATAAATTGCAGTGGGGTCCACATATATTCACATTAGCCAAAAGACTAAGCTCGGCTGCTTTTGCTATCAGAAAAATTAGACAGTTGACTGATACTGCAACAGCGAAACTAGTGTATTTTAGTTACTTCCATAGTATAATGTCGTATGGTATTATATTGTGGGGAAGAGCGGCTGATGTAGAATCAATTTTTATATTACAAAAAAGAGCAATTCGTTCAATATATAATTTACCGTGTCGCGAATCTCTTAGAGAACGCTTCAAAGAAACAGGTATCCTTACTGTTCCCTCTCAATATATATATGAAAATATTATGTACGTACGCAAAAACTTAAATTTATTTCCAAAAAATAGTCACTTACACGCTTATAATACAAGGAATAAAAATAAATTAAATATGCCTAGTTATCGTCTCAAAAAAGTAAGTACATCTTTCATGGGACATTGTATACGTTTTTATAATAAATTGCCAGATAGTGTTTTAAATTTAAGTGAAGGCAAATTTAAGATACATGTAAAAAAAACACTTTGCTCTAAAGCTTATTATAAAATAAACGACTACTTAAATGACTACAATGTGTGGACTTAATTACAATTTTAACTTTTGTTATGAGCCATATAATTTTTCCCATTGACATGGATAATGTAATAACATTAAAGAAACTTATTATAAATGATTTTTTATAATTTGTAATGACATATTGTAAATTAAATAATGTAAATTTAATATTGTAATGGGTGAAAACTGTGATCGGTACAGCCTATGCTGTAAATAATATAATTGACGTAGTGGAGTAACCTGAAACAGTCATGCTCGCTATAAAGTTCAAACTTGTGGCGGCGTGGTGGGCCGGGTCGATGTGCTCCCTCAAATATGGTTGAGTACAATGATGGCTGGCTCATACGTCATACTCGTGAACGGGTGCTACTTGTGGGGACTGGTCTGTTTAGGTTGTGAACACTGATTAAATTTTTTGTTCTTTGCGATAGCATATGCTGGTGGTCACTCTATTCTCCCAAATTTGAATTTTAAAAACTATATTTATTATAAACATGTTCCACTATTATTTGAAAAAAATACGAGCTGAGTTTCTTGTCAGTTCTTCTCATCTCGATATCATTCCGAACTGACGGTAGATTTGACATATCATAAGAGTCTGTAATAGACCTACATGAATAAAGATATTTTGAATTTGAATTTGAATAATAATATCAAATTTCATTTAGATCCGTATAATCGTTTGGTAGTAAAGAGGTAATAAACAGAGAAACATATATAACATAGTATGAAAGTATATATGAACTGATACTAGCTATTTACGGTGATTTTATCTGCTTTCCTTTTACATTTCATGTACCCAATCTATTTTTTTTATTTTTATTTAGTTATTTAATAAACACAATATTTATCAATCAATCACATCAATCCATCGTCATATAAAACTTCATTGTGATCCGTTCAGGCGTTTAATATATTTAATAAAAAAAGATATAAAACAGAGAGATAGAATAGAAATAAGAATTTAAACGTAAAAAAAAATATCAGTAACTTAATTACAACATAGACAGAAATATAATGGAAAATGCATTTAAATGTGCTTATAAATTTATTACCTAATTACAACGACATATAGGTATCATTTGGAATGAAGAAAGTTGCAATTAGAAGCCAGTTATAACGTTATTATTGATTTGCAAAAATAAACATTAACAAAAGAGCATGAAAACAATAAATTTATCCTTATAACCGCATAACTGAGTTGCATGCAAATAACAAATAGGTATATTTTGTATACAAACATTTCCCCATGGCGAGACGACATCAAAACACTATTATTATTACAATTAATTACAAATAACAATTTATAATAAACCGTTAAGTACTAATTAAATTAATTTTAATTGTTTACAATCGATATACTATACGTCAGTTATCGCAAAACGGATATTAATACTGGAATAGACTTACCAATGCGCAGGCGCCGATTTATCTACACCATACTTGTATCGTACAGCTCCTGTAACGGAAGCAAACATGATAATAAAAATATTGTTACTATTCTCGATGCTATGATCAGTAGCATTATTTTCTTTACAACTTACACAGCTCTATCTAGCCATAACGTAAGTAGAGCTTGTATATATGGGTATTTTGTTTTATTGGAGCAGGGGCGGATCGTGAATTTGTGGGGCCCTGGGCTAAATCTACTTAGGGGCCTACCTACCTTACCTAATTATATTACTCAACTAAAAAAATAGACCATCAAAAAACAAGCGACCAAAAATTCTCCATTCCTTTCGATAGACGCGCACTTACATGGGTTGATTGCTCTCAGGGTTGCCAACCTTATGATAGGTTTTTAACATTCTAGATATTTTTATATTCTAAATATCGTTTCAGTGGGGACTGGGCAGCCCAAAAAGCTCTTAGGTAGATCCGCCTGCATTCGGAGGTTTTGGGCTATTGTCAGGTACTAAGACCTGTATAGATCTATAGTGCTTGCCCTTATTCAAAGTTCGCTAACTAGACCCGTGAGGAATAAGAATTGAAGGATATTCTTAGCAGTGATGGTTTTTATGAGTACTAGACAACTGATAGAAATACGTATACATAATATACACAGATAGGGGAAAGGAGTTGTTACTAACAACGTGGGCTAATCACGTCATTACTAGAAATGTACCATGGCAGATTGACCTCCACGCGGTTCCCCTGGAAATCATCATGATAAATTCCTGGTGTCATGATGAGCTAACTTATCTGACTTCATTATCATCTTATCATCCTCCACTGGTGCTTCGCCAGTGTAATAACGATTTACACTACAACGCGCAGACGAGTGCACCGTATCATTATCATCTATTGTAAAAAAATATACACATAAAACACCTCTAGTCCCAAGCTATGTAGAGCTTGTGTTATGGGTACAAATACTTAGATATATTTTTTTGTAAATACATATATAATAGACATAGAACACACTCAAAACAATCATACTCATGAATACAAATGTCTGTACCGTGCGAGGAATCGAGCACGTGTCCATCGGAAATTAAACGGAGTGCTAAACTGCTGAACCACTGACTCCGCTTATAACATTATAAGAATGGATTCGAGATACGTATTAATTTTGCATATTATACAATTCAGAGATCAGTGATAATAGCATTGTCTCCAAACATCTGATCGCCCACATTGAATATGCATCAATGACATCATCTCTTTAAATATAGAATTTACATCACCCACACATAGTTTATTTTCTGTGGATGGTCATAAATGACTAACTCTCCAGCGGGGATGCCGACGAATACCAGGAACTTCATACAAAAACAGCACTTTGGGCCGGTATGTGGACATTTACATCCTTGTACAATTTTGTATGAGATTATGTCCCAAGAAAATCAAATCAAAATAATAATAATAATACCCTTGTTTAATTCACATAATGTCATCTAGTCCCAGAGTAAGCAGAGCGTATGTTATGGATACTAGACAACTGATGTCAATACATATATGTACATAGGAAACACCCAGATCGGTACAAACAATCATAGTCACAAACAGATATGTTCCCAACAGATTTTCTCTACATTCATTTTTATCTCCTTTTCACTTTCTCAGAATTATTTTATTCTTCTGCTTATATATTAACTACTATGAGTAATATTGTGCAAACAATAGTATTTGAAATGTTTCATACTTGCATAAGTGGCTCCTCTATTCACTTAAACATCTGGTTTCTTTATTGAAATGTTCATTGTGTGTAGAAGCTATGCAGACTTGTTTTTTGTATAATAGATGCTGCATTTTATAAACAAAACTTGCCATCATGACTGTTAACCTTGATGACCTCATCAGGTCAAACTACACTATATAGTCAGAGCTACTGTCGTTGTGTTGACTTCGTGGTGAATGCAACACTTGACCACATTTCGCTCGATATATTTTGAATTCAACATAGGATGTAGAGAGGCGAGCCTACTCATCTTGGTGAGTCATTAATATTAGTTGACACACATTTTTTTGGTGTCTCTGAGATTTAACATCACTACCTTTTGGGCGTAATTCAGGGTAAACAGTTCTTAATCATTTTAACATGTACATTATCATCATCTGCTTCTTCCTTATCCCATAGATGTGTCGTTGGTGTAATATGTTTTTCTCTTCTGGTTTTTCTGTATTTAGTCATCTCGTTATCCACTCCCTCCGTCTTTTTCAGTTACATTCATATATATAATTTGACTTATCTACATACCAAATTTAATTTGAATCCGTCTTTGTATGAAAGAGTAACAAACATCCATTTATTATCACAAACTAACATTTATAATGTTAATAGGATAGTAGGATGAACAAAATATAATATTTATCTTAGTATTACAATGGTATTCAATACAAGAGTTTCAACCAACTGAAATGTGTAAAAATGATGTAGATATTAACTTTATCAGTGTAAATGTATAGCATAAACTTAAATGTGGATTGTTAGTAATGTGGACTAATGACCCCAACCAATTGCTAGCCATGCAACAAGTCAGGTTGACCTCAATATGGTTCCCCTGAAAATCGCTGTTATAAATTCCTGTTGAATTTGTCATGACAGTGTAACTAACCTGACCTCATGCTCATCTTATCATCCTCTAATAAAAAATAATAATATGAACTTAGATCTTTAGGTAATCTATACATCTATACATATAAATAAAATTGGAGTGTCTGTTTGTGATATTGAAAAAACTGTTTTTTACTACATGCATATGAATATAAATATGGTACACCAAAATAACAGTTTTTACAATTTTTGTCTGTCAGTCTGTCTGTTTGCTCCGGCTAATCTCTGAAATGCCTGGACCGATTTTGACGGGACTTTTTTGACAGGTAGCTGATGTAATAAAGAGTAACTAAGGCTACTTTTATTTTAAAACAGTAAAGTTAAATTCCATGCGGATGAAGTCGCGGGAACAGCTAGTATTTCATATCATGGTTTTATGACTGTTATCTTCTATAATTAATTGGGCTATATAAATTATTCGTATATCATAGCTGAGTGACTACAAAATCATCATATTGGTAGAATATTAAGACCACATATTATATATATTCTGTATTGCACTTTTAAATACAGTTCTAAACTTAAACATATACAAAGTGAGCAAAGGTGGACTTATCTCTAAGAGAGATCTCTACCAGTCAACCCAACAATGTGGCATAGCTAGCAGTGAGTAGGTAACACCTGTGCAATTAACACTATTATGTTGAAATGTCCAAAAGTTGAGAAAAATAAAACATTTAAAATTCAACAAATTAAATAAAGTTCTAATTATATTATAATTATAATAAAATATACAATAATAAATAAAATAAACATTAATAAAAGTTACTTATATACATACATATACAATTACTATAGACATAAAAATACTATAGTATTTTGTGTAATATATGTAGATAACATATATTACACAAAATACAAATAATAAAATACATGATGAAACTAATCATACTAAGGTCGATAAATAGTGTGAAAAGAAATTTCCTAAGAATTGAGACTTGCAATTGAAGTGGAAGTTTTAACATTTTGGAGTGGTTTTGGCAAAGACGTCTCAGTCTAGTAGGAGGTGTCTCAGTCATTTTTGTTATTTTTTTACTTTAGCTTTAGTCTTGTTGTAGAATAGAATATAAAATTCATTATTAAGTAAAAATTCACATTGAAGTTTTTTAGATAGTTATCACTTTTTTTTGTATATAAGTACTGTTCATTTGGAAAGCTGTTCATCACAAGAAAAACTAGCAGGAAACTTTTGTGTTGCTGTAGTAAATAATTTTGTTGTAACTTTACATTTTTAAGTTCAAATGTGTGAATACAATCTACCAACTAGCACTAATTAACTAGGGTCAAAATATTAATTACACAACCAACTAGTCAAGTAATTACATAAGTAAATCAGTCAATAAAATAATTATAAAAAACTTATTTGAGTATATTTCTCAACTATCTAACATCCCCAGTCATTTAACTATTTTTTTTATCTGAATTAGAACTAGTGTGGGTTGTGTAAGATATCTAGGTTTCTCTTTATTCATAAATTTATAACTTTATAGAGTAAACAGCTGGTTTTCATTATTAATAATATAGAACCTGTAATCAATTGAGATCTGATAACCATAACAAATAATCTGGACGACACTATCTTATTAATAAGTTAAATATAATAGATAACAAATTAATATTATTGCATAATGAAGTACAGTTACTAAGTAAGTATGATATTTTAAATTTAAATATCACATAGTACAGAATACTACTACTAAATTGTATACAGTGATTACTTATTTTGACAGCTCAGTAGTCTAGTGGTTTAGAACACCACCTTACTTCTGATGGTTATGGGTTCAATTCCACACATGGCACAAACATTTGTATTCATGATTATGATAATTTGTATTGATATTGTTTAGATTCCTCACAGAAACATTTGTATTCATGAGTTTGATTGTTTATATCTATATGGGTGTTTTTTTATGGGTTATAATATGTATGTAACTATGAAAAAATAACTATGTATTTCTATCAGTTATCTAGTACCTATAACACAACCTTTAACTAGCTTAACTTGGAACTGCACAACACTGTGTGAAGTGTCCTGAGATTATTATTACTATTTCAGAAAAAATACATATATTTTTAAGGCAATTATGTTTTATAGTCTTGATATTAAGTTGGGAGTATTAAAAATAGCAGTAAACCTGTTTTTAAAATGAATGATATTGCTATTAGCCCATCATTGAATATTTAAAGCAATTAACCACAATGGTTCCCAGTGGGACTTGCAACAAGGTCAACTTGCCATGTACATTATTACAAACATACATTGCCAGCAATGGGGTCAATAATTATCATAACTAATAATCCCCTCCTTTCAATTAATATTAAACACATAAAATTCATTAGGATGTAGACTACAATTAATTAAATATTTAATTATTAATAAAGCTGAATGTTCTTGAAAATTAATTTTTAATCATGAATTCTAAAATAAAGTAATACTGTGTATATATATACAGTATAGAGAAAAAAGTATGTTATCAAATAAATGTAAGTTATTCATTAATAAAATTGTCTTATATTTCTATGTGATTGTTTTATAAACAAAGTTATAACACAATTTGAACTATTTCTACAGTAATTCAAGCCAGTCTCTACAAATTTACTGTATCACCAGGCTACATGTGTACAAATATAAAAATGAACAAATTAAATATACATTCCCAGCTGCAGTGAGCGTCGTAGTACTTGATGTCTAAAAATAACACAAACCAATCCAAAAGAAACCCTATTTAAGACATCAAACTACATTTAAAGAATGCAAGATTGTTGTAAGGAACTTTAACTGGCTCTGATATCATCGCTTCCTCCTCAAAAGCCTCGTTCATGAATTAATTAACGCACTGTAAACATCGAGTTAGCCTTGGTAGAAGTCCGAAAAATTAAATGAACACTTACGTAGGACTAATACAGACGACTAGGACATCAACGAAACATAGTCACTTGAACTGTTTTCTTTCACTATTTATCACTGAACACAATTTTCTTTCTTAACACAAAAGGTTCTGACTAACGAAGCGTTCAGATATTTTTTATGACTGTTTAATTTTTTACGTAAAATCGGTATACTAAGCAGAAAATTTCAATACATTTCTATGACTTGACATTTACTTTTTTATTGCCCTGTTTTTATGACTTTGGAGAAAAGTTATTTTGCCGCGGTGTTTATTATTGATGATGTTCTTAATGCCAGTAAACGTAAAACGTGACAGAAATTTAAAACACATTGTCAAATCATCATTATGCGAAATTAAATAATTATGCCTCCTTTTATATATTACACATCCTTACTTTTTAGAAAACGATCTTTTAGGCACAATTTACCGTACCCAGAACCAGCACAAAAAACAGCTGTCTAGTAATTCTCCTTGTCAAAAACGTTGAAAATGTCGAATACTGTCTTTCGTTCGATCATATTCAAATGTCAATGTCAAATGAAATTGGAAATCTTTTTTAGTTTTTAATATTTTCTTGGAATAATTTGAAAATATACTGATTTATAATGATTTACACATTCATTGCGTAATGTTTACATACTAATATAAATTTGTGTACATCAGGAGATTGTCTGAACCTGGTTATTCTGCTGGTTGCACCGGTAGAGGTTATGAAATAAGGATCTCCAGAGACCTATTGGTTATGTTTGTAAAATAGTCTTTGCGGAGGAACTACAAAAATTACGTAAACAATGTCAAGAATACTGCACAATCGTTTGAGGTGATTAAGTATATTTTTATTTATATTTCGATGACGATTTATGATTTTATTCACTACTCACCATTTCCAATATACCCTTGAAAATGTTTAAAAATTAATATATTTTTTATTTTTTTATTTCCTTATTTTCCGAGATTTCAGGCAATGTAATAATAATAATAACCCATTACAACTCACACACCATCAACTCCCAAACTATGCAAATTATGTACTGTGAGTGATACTCAACATTAAAATAATAATACTTAAATACATTTTTTTTTGTAAATGTAGACACAAGATATTATTGACAGTGTATACTTACATTTTAGTATAATACATCCTCTATCTATCACTAGTTGAAATAATAATAATAATAATATCATTTTCAACTAAATTAAAATAGACCTTATAAATGCAACTGTATTTCTTCAGTAATGTTTGTATACAATTTTTGTTTAAATTAACATATTAATATATATTTAATATTAATCTTAAGAATATGAATATATTACTCAAACAATGTCTGTATGGGCAGAATTCTTTAGCCTTTCGCAGCAAAATAATACTTAAAAAAAACAATATTTTTTTAGATCGAAATCAACATCATGGGCTTGTGTAGACAAACGAGCTGTAGCATTCTCTGTATGGACAGGCCGCAGCATGCTACTGCAGAGACCGATCGACACAAGTCATATACACAGACGGAGATATGGCATGCTTGTCGCACGAGCTGTGCGGGGCATGCTGAAAATCAGATACTTGTTACTGGGAGGGGCCGTTGGAGGAGGCATGACTTTGAATAAGGTGAATTTTATTACTGCAAAATTTTTGTACAGTTTCTACTGTAATTTATTCATATATATTTTTGTTTAGTATCTTTTAAATTGTATAAAATTATTAATTTATATTCGGTGTTTTTTAAATTGTGTAACATTATCTCTCAAAATGTTGTAATAATAGAGATATCAAAAGTATTGGCACTATTGGTTATAGAATCCAGATGAATTTCTCCAAACAATCTCAAAGAGCTTAAATTTTTTTTTATAATTCTTAACTATATAAAGATGCTCTATGGTTACATTCATACAATATTTTAGTCTACTACATTTCAAATTATGAATGCTAATTTTGCCTTTTAAAATATAAAGAAATTTTATTCAAACAACCAGTTTAGAATGGTTTCTTGCCTTGTTTCATTCATATATTATTCTATCATATTCAATTATTCTTCTACCATGTCAACATGTAACGTTAAAAAGTAATCTCTCATTGTTTGTGAAATTAAACTAAATATTGAAAATCGAAATAGATTTGATATCGACTCATCACTGACTGCCAAAGTTTGTCATCTAACATTGTATGTAATATGTTAAAATATAATTGAAAGGATATCATTTCTAGAAATATGCAGAATGGAAAGATGGCCTGCCAGATATGGGCTGGCTGAATGACTTACTCCCTGATAATGAACAATGGGATAGATTTACCACTACACTCATTAGTGCTAAGGACAAAATTGGAGATCAATTTCAAATTGGTAAGATATTGAGAACTCAGATATTTTAAATTTCAGGATTGTAATCAGTAGTAGGGTATTCAGAGATATAATTTATTTATTTATTTATTTATTTATTTATTTATTTAGGAAGATTAACGGTATAATTTTACATGTTACTTATCATATCAAGTTGTCCTATGCCAATTAATAATCTTCGCCAATAGTATTACCAGATTAAATTTTTCATTAGCCAAATTTAACATATTGAAGTAATCACGTGACAGTGTTTCAGTTGTAGTTATACAGTACAAGTAAATAGATCAACATACCCACAAGTAGCGATGTATCCACAGAATACACAAATAAAGTATATGTACCGTTAAATTGAATTGGTTACATATCTCTTGAGTTTCCTAACTGAGGCTGTGCTGGAACAAAACAGGTCAATATCATGTGGTACATGGTTAAAGATTTACATGCTCGTAAAACGAAAGTGTTCTCTCTGTATCTGGTCCTGACTGTACACACTTAATATGGCTCTTTGTCTAAGTCTTAGGGTATTAGTTCTCAAGTTTATTTTTGATAGCAGCTCCGAGCAATCAATTCTTCCGTTCGCTATATCCATAAGATAACAGATATCGTTAATATTGCGTCTCATATACAGGGGTAGAAAGTGATACTTTCTACATCTATCGTAGTAATCTACAGAGCGTCGTTTACATTTAAAATCCAAAATCTTTTCTGGATGGCTTCTATACGTTTATAAACCTCGTAGTGCGGGTTCCATATTTGGGATGCGTACTCTAAGTGACTTCGAACATATGCGCAATACAATACTTTTAAGGTTTTAATGTTGCTAAAGTTTATTGATCTACGAATGATAAACCCAAGAGCCTTAGAGGCCCTGCTAACAATATAATTTACATGTTTATCAAATAAGAGCTTGCTGTCGTGAATTACACCGAGGTCTCTAAATTCCGATATTTGTGCTAGATTCTGATTTTTTAAAGTATAGCCATGTTTAATGTTTTATGACATCGAGTAAATGACATGTAAAAACATTTCGATAGTTGAGATCTAATTTGTTACTATTGCAATAAGACTCGAAGTTAACAAGGTCTGATTGTAGATCTTTTATATCTTGACTACTGCGAATTACTTTTAGAATTTTCATATCGTCAGCAAATAGAATTATTTTTGAATTTTGAATATTTATTGATATCGGATTTATAAAAAGCAATGGCCCTAAAAAATGGAACCATGCGGTACTCCGGAGTAAACTTGGTGCCCAGGTCGATAATCCACTCACACTGCCTGACTGCGATTGTCAATGTACGACTTGAACCACCTATGTAAGTCCCCATGATTCCTGCACAGGTTAGCTTATTCAGAAGTAATGAATGGTCGAAAAGATCAAAACATACTGTAGTCATTATATATCACATCACCTGAATTCGCTGTTCCATACCCGAAGTTATAAAATCATTAGCGACTGAGAGATTCGATACCGTTGAGCAACCTTATGCAATTTCCTCACCAAAAGAGCTTTTCAATGTGTCATATACCTGGCCATAGACTATTTTTTTTAGAGATATCTTAGCAAATAAATCAGTATTGAGATAGGTCTATAACACTCGATATCACTGTTATCTCCCTTTTTAAAAATGGGCGTTGTGTAGCATCTTGCTATTGGAATTATACCCTCGGAGAGAACGATTATACAGAATACAAAGTGGTACTTAAAGGCTCTCTGCACAGTTGATAATGATATTTGGAGGTATATGGTCAGGCTTTCGATTTGGAGGAGTCAAGAGACTTCAATGTCTGTATATACTTCAATTTTTTGGGTCTCGATAATCGATGAGATATTAGAGATAATTTGGGGTATGGTCCATCCATCACATCCACGTTGCCTGAAGAACAAACATACCTATTAAACGTTGACTGGAAATATTTAAGGCTAAAACAAATCGCTTACACTCTGGCCAGCTCTCTAATCTAAAACATTCTTATACGACATTATGTTGGGGTTGGTTCCAGTTATTATTATTTTTAGGTTGGACCAGAAACACTTGGGATCCTTTGTTATAGTCTTCTATTCTTCTCATGTATGAGTTGAAACAGTCTCTTTCAATTTGTATAGCCCAAAGACGTAAAAGTGCAAAAGAGTTATAGTCAGATAAATTACCATATGTACGATATTTTTTATGAAATTTAGATTTCTCTTTTAAGATTTTTTAAGTGCGTTGTTGTACCATGGTCGGGTAGGTCTAGATGTAATGGTTTTTTGACAGAGAAAATTTATCACGAGATTCAAAAGATGACTATAAAACAGATCCACAGCATCTTGAAATGGAATGCTATACAGAGAACAGAGAGTCAACGCAGTCAAGTGCAGTTGATATAGGGTCGTCAACGGTACATGTACTTAGTTCTACGTTCTTGTACAAGCATGTGAACTTGAAAATTAACTGTTTATTTAAGGACTTATGAAGCTATCTTCCAAAAATTGGGATTATCAGATGCCTGTACAACCGTCTGTCATTGGACAATACCAGGTCGTAGCAATCGATCATTATGATTATAGTTGTTAATATATTGTGTGTGAGATTGCACATGGTTAGAATATCAATAAAATTTACTAAATGACCTTGATTAGATGTTGATATATCAACTTTTAAATCAAATTCATCATTTTCTGCCCATCTAATTGTATTTGGGAGATTGACACCGATGAATTTGTCAAGGGTATGCGATAAGACCAAGTTAAGGTCGGGCGGCCCATAAAGTTGTCCAACTGCATTTTGTAGCTGTTGCCTTGCTCTTCACTTAATATAAACAGTACAGAAATATGTATATTACATGAGCCCGATGGGCGCTTATTACTAAAGTAATGGTAACCCACAAATCTTCAGCTGAACTAATCCAATTAATTCTATTAGTAACAGTGAGATTTCGTTTAACTGCGGGCGAACCCCACCACCCATACTCGCGCGTGGTGGTAGTCTCGATCACGTCCTCCAAACCAAGTAGCGGTGATCAAAAAGTTCCGCATCAGATATACTGCAAGGAGCCAGGTTTCGGTCAATGCTATGACGTCATACTCATTATAGACTAACCATTTGTATAGATCATCATTTTTGAACGCAAACCATGTGTGGTTTTGATAGTATAGGTTAAGAGAAGCCATTTTTATAATGTAATTTTAAATATATCGCAATGTGTAATGTTTTTACTTTAATACGCTGATTATAATTATAAAGTCTCAACGGGAAACAATCCCACAATGTGGAGAACATTTGTTGATATTTACCATCAACGGAGAGCCGTACTGGTTCCAATATTTTGAATGTTTATATAATATTTTTAATGAACTCATTTTAGTATTTATGACCTTAACGTTTAAAATATACGCAGCAGTGTTCCCCCAGCACGTACAGTAATTAAAATTATTGAAAAATGAATTTTGGGCAATCATACCACCACACATAAGTACCAGCCCACACATCTATACCCTATAAAACAAAACAGATAACAACAACATAATCAACAATATAAAAACTAGGATCATCACACTTTATTTACATGATTCATAACTATTTTTGATATGTCTTTTCTGCAAATAGGTTATTTGTATCACGGGTAAAGTAATATTTTTGCATGTTAATACACAAAGAGAACGAGCCCATACAAATTGCAACCCCAATCATCTTTAGCTACTTTCTTGTAATAACATTATTGTTGGTGTTGGTGATATACATTAATAAATATTCTATGATGATTATTACAATGATAATTGGTAATATTGGACTAGTCTTTATAAACAATCTTGCAGCAGCTATGAATTTTCCTTCAATATTTATTAGTAAAACAAGCAATAATTGGTTTAGGTTGATTTTGCTCTCTGGTCTGTACTCTAGTTACAAAGTCAGCTGGTTGTTCGTATAGTAGGATCAATTTATTTTCTTTCAAAACAAAATGTCGGAAGATTTTTCATTTTTTGGTAAATTCAATTCGCAAAATACCTAACTGTTCTTTCCATTTTTCATTCGTATATCATCAATTCTGTGTTGCAGAACGTTATTACATTGGTTTTCCGTGACCTAACAACTGCGACCTCTTTTTCTGTGCTCATATGTGAAGACATTCTAGAACTCAACATCATCATATTTTTTTGACAAAAAATCGATTGATTTTTCTATTTCATGATAGTCATAAATTTTTAACATTTTGTGACATAACCTGTGTAATATTATCAGTTTTTATCAGTTTGCGATCCAGTCAGCCTCAGTCTTGAACTTCCGATCGTCGATTTCAATATTCAACATCGAAATAATAGACTCTTGAAATATAATAAATTGGTTTCCACATTAGAGTCATCAGTTCTTGGACGTTTGATCTTTGGATGTTTATGTAATCCATGACTAACATCACTAACGACAGTCAGACATGTCTTTTAGATTAGGTACTCAAGATATGACCAGAAGTAGGAGGTTTGGTGCCACTTCTTTGGAACAATTAGTTTTTAAAGTTGGTTTATTATATTATATTTATCTTGTATTTACAAGACAAATATGTGCTTTTATGTTTATAACGCCGCAGATATCCAACAATGCGCGTAACTATAGGAACATGTTGATGTTATGCAGAGAGAGCTAAGCGTTGAAAATATAGTTCAAATTTTAGCTAGATGGTCCAACATGTATATCAATCAATAATGATAAATTCATTAAAAAATAATTGCCACTTTTGTAGGTTATATATAACACAAGCTATCACTTTCTAGATGGAGCACTGTGCAATCCAAATATATTCCAGTTATACTACACACAAAGACTTCGATGCAACACACTTAGTGAAAATGCGTAGATTGTGGACAAAGAAGCATCTGCTACTATGCAGCAAAGTCGAAAGGCGACTCCATACAGAGTCCAATTTTAGCTGAATTCTTTATCTTCAAATGATAATTCACTGCAAGTATCATATGTTGATCATCACTTATTGGCATTAATACTTATAAATCTATTTTATTTATTGAATAAACACGACATCACAATTACTACTTTGGTTGGTGTTGCCATATATATACATCTTATTTATCATGGTGAATTCAATGTTTGACATCACAATGTCTATGTATATATTTTAATCCAATTTGAACCTATGCTATTCAATTATGGGGTTTAACTGCAAACTCCAACATAAGATGAACTCAAAATAATATCTTGATGAGTATCTCAATACTAACACAGTAGCCGAAAAGAAAAAACATTTCTGTTCCAAATACAATACACTTACTAGTCGGGGATGATTTACTAATCAAGACCATAAAAAAAGACGATGGTTCTATTGAGAATCACACTATCTGTGACATTATTTTTACCATATCTGTTCCCAGAAAGATGGACACAGATAAAGAATTATTTTTTTAAATGCGACAAAAGTTTTTTTTGCATCGGGGATTTTCTGGCTGTTATCATGGTGAATATTGACAGAAATATAAAGATACATGCAAAGTCAATTTGGTGTCTGTTAAATTTCAACTCCCAACTTAGATAGATAGATATATCATTTATTTGATTGTTACTAATCACACGCAATTCAATAGACTTCAACCTTTGGGGTTGAAGTCAGTACCAATTAGTTACAATACTCGGTTTGAATTTAATCTACTATAATTATAGATGGGTAATTTATTTTTATCTTTACAGTATTTTTACTTAAATATATCTAAGTATTCATGTCACTTGTCTAGTACCTATAACAAGCTCTGCTTACCATGGGACTAGATGGTGCTGTGCTTCCGATGCAGCCAAGTTATTGTTCTGGATGGTATCACATTAGTTTAAGTTTTTTAGTTGTTTTTTAGTGTATTTTTGTTATTTAGTATAGGTACGATAGGATTGTGATCGTCACATTTTGTGCACAATTATCCCAAAAATAAAATAATGAGAAAAAAAAAAGTAGATGGTGCTATGTTGATAGTCCAGGATTATTATTGTTACTATTAATAAGTGGTAGCGGTAACATGAGGTGTCCCGCTAGGCTCGAGACTGATGCTGCTGGTGCCCGCAGATCCTCGTCTGCGAGAAGCTGGCGCGATTCGAGCGGCCGAGCTCCGGGAATGGCTCGCGCAGCGCTACGAGGACGCCGTGGCTGCAGCCGCAGCTAACAGCGCCGTCGGTACGTAACAGTATAGGAGGAACTACTATATGTTAATACTAGCTGTGCCCGCCACTTCATCCGTGTGGAGATAGTATGACGAATGACTAATTTCTATATAAACTTTTATCACCAATTTTATTTTACCCCCTTGAGGGTAAAATTTTACAAACATTTAATGTCATATTTATTTATATTTAATCAACAGCCTAAAAAATAAGTTTTATGTTTCTACATGTACAACCTTCCAATTCCCCTTTTAATCCCTTACAACTCTTTTTTGCGTTAAAACGTAGTCTATCCTTACTTAGGGTCTAGACTATCAGTGTACCAAATTTCATTTAAATCGGTTTAAGTAGTTTTGTCATAACAGTGCGACAAAAACAGTTAATTTCGCTTTTATAATATTTGTGGGGATTATTTGTTTCAATATATTCCAGATCCAATAAAACTGCATATGCCTCTGCAGTAAATATACTAGCAACCTTATGCAATTTAGAACCGGAAGCAGTTTTTTTTTAATCATTGTAAATAACCATTGAGACAATTTTTTTTTTTGAGATGGGTCTGACGTAAATAGATCGTATAGAAATGGACCCAGTGCCGAACCCTGTGGTACCCCTGTTTTAATTTCGTGTTGTGTAGATCTTGCTTTATCGTATTTAGCCTTAAAGAATCTATCTGACAGTCAGTGATGCAGTACTGTAAGTGCGGGACTCTTTTACCTTACACAAATGACCTTTGTGCCATCTTTTCCTCAGTCAAATGGTTGAGCTTTCTTTTCTTCAAAGTAATTTCTAATGTCCCTATATACATAGTTCAATTGTAGAGTGTGAATTTCGAAAACCGAACTGATGTTTAGAAATAATATCATTGTTATCATGTTCCATAAGCTCTTAACCGAAGAACAAACATCCTCTTCCAGATTTTCGACAGAACAGAAGTAAGGCTAATTGAACGATAGGATGAAGCATCGTGGGGCGCTCTCTAATCTAAAAACAAAGATTTTCTCCAGAAACTTTCTATATTTTTTTGGCAGTTTTATGTATTTTTACACCTAGTTGGTCACGGTATACGGACCAACCTCTGGTTAGTGTAGTTTTATTATTGAAGTTGCTATTTGAAACAAACATTATTTTTTACAGAATCATCACCAAAGATTGTGAACAACTTACAGAGCAAGCCGCAGCCGACGCCTAGTCGTTCATCAAGCGAGGATGCCAGCACATATGGTTAGTATGAATACAGATGTTTAAGAAACTATTACTTTGTAACAAAGTCTACGGTAATAATCGATAATATTTCGTTCTTAACAGAGAAACGTGTACACGCTTTACAAGAAGAAGTGTTGTCCTTACAAGCTCGCTACCAGAGGGAGTTGCAGCGTCTCGAGCAGGAGAACAGAGAGCTGAGACAGCAGAATATGCTGCTGAGACAGGGTCGTCAACCTTCGGCAAGGAAAATGAAGGTAGATTTTTACTTTTATTTTATGGTTCACAGAAAATCTGTTTATTTAGGGATCGGATGAAGCAAAGCTTTCTTTAAAAGTTTTGGGACTATACCTGTAGAATAGCTGTATAGGAAAAGGCGCGTTAGTACCAAAGACAATTCAGGTGTACACGTCCTAAGCACAATAGCAGGAATGCAGTCGGGCGCACTCGACTTGTGGACGTTTTCTGAGAAAAGATACTTCCGTGTAAGAGAAATAAGTACATATCAACTTTTGAATAAATTTTACATCATGTATAAAAGTCTCACACCGCGAGATGACCGGCGATGATGGTGTATTAACACCACCACCATTTCTGAAGTGTTCGAGTGGTAAAAGTGCACGATTGTGGCAGCGGTCGCTGATCGACATGTACTCGTCGGTGCTGGACGAGCTGTCGGGGTGGGAGGCGGGCGACGCCGACCGCCTGCCGCGCGTGGTGGTGGTGGGCGACCAGTCCGCCGGGAAGACCTCCGTGCTGGAGATGATCGCGCAGGCGCGCATCTTCCCGCGCGGCGCCGGAGAGATGTGCACCAGGTACGATGCCCATATCCACTCATTATGCACTTGACATTTGATAGATATTATTAATAACTGATAGGAAAATTCATGTGTGGATGTGACGCAGGGCTCCGGTCAAGGTGACGCTATCGGAGGGTCCGTACCACGTGGCACAGTTCAGGGACTCCGCCCGGGAGTTTGACCTCAACAAGGAGTCGGATCTCGCGGATCTGCGCAAGTGAGTATCGGTTGAAAGCTACATTATTATGTGCGAGGAACATTTGTTGATTTTTATTTTGCACCCGCGCGAAGGCAGAGCCCGTACTGGTATCCCATATTTTGAATAACACTAGATATCGTACACAGAATAATAATGAACTTCACTCGTTCGTGTTTCGTCCTCAGGGAGGTGGAAATGCGCATGCGCAGCAGCGTGCGCGGTGGACGCACGGTGTCGGCGGATGTGATCTCGATGTCCGTCAAGGGCCCCGGCCTGCACCGCATGGTGCTCGTCGACCTGCCCGGCGTCATCTCCGTGAGTACCCTCCGCTCCCTCCGTTACTCATACATTGTCCGTCAAGGGCCCCGGCCTGCACCGCATGGTGCTCGTCGACCTGCCCGGCGTCATCTCCGTGAGTACCCTCCGCACCCTCCGTTACTCATACATTGCGCGTCCCCGGCCTGCACCGCATGGTTCGTATCTATAATCTCCAATACGCACCCTTTAACATTGTCCGTCAAACCCCGGCCTGCACCGCATGGTGCTCGTCGACCTGCCCGGCGTCATCTCCGTGATTCATAAAGAAGTATTTATATCTATAAAATATATACAAAAACTAACAAGTCTCTGGTTCATAAAAAACGAAGTAGCTACCCGTACACGTACGCACGTCAGGCAGTAATGAATATACATGTAAATGTGACAAAGAGAACGAGCCGGACCGTGAACGCATACGCGCGTTCATCAGTCATGCGTGTTTTAACGTCTTTTGGTTATAATTCATTATCAAAGATAATTAATGTATATGCATTATAATAAATGATTATGATAATGATCTATTCTAAATCCTTATTAATAAATCAGTGTATGAATTTATCTGAATATTTCAGACACAAACTGTGGATATGGCGAGCGACACGCGCGACTCTATCAAGCAGATGAGCAGGCAGTACATGGAGAATCCGAATGCCATTATTCTATGTATACAGGTACGGATCATAGAGGTCTTTTAAACAAAACAAAATATCGGAATGAAACATTTTGTAGCAGTAGTGAAATAGATTTCCGCAAAATAATACCTAATTCCATTAAATATACCATTTTTATTCGGATACAGGATGGTTCAGTGGACGCAGAACGCAGCAACGTGACCGATCTGGTGTCCTCGTGCGACCCTCAGGGTAAGAGGACCATCTTCGTGCTGACGAAGGTCGACCTCGCTGAAGAGAATCTCGCCAACCCAAACAGGGTAAAAAAAATGTTTGAACTTTTTAGATACCTCAATGAATGTACATAAAATGTTTTAACAATCATAAAAATCATCAGAAATCTTTTAGTACAGAAAATTTATACAGGCTCCAGTCAAACTCAGTCTCAAATTTCATGACGTCGATTTCAATATCTAATAAGAAAAACAAAATTTGAACTATTGGTGAAAACTATAGTTTCACATTAGAGGTTCCTATCGTTGAAAAAGCGAAAGAAAGTCGCTTACGCTGGTATGGCTATATCCAAAAACGCGAAAACGACTACGTGGTTAAAAAAGTGCTCATCTTGAGCACTTTTTTAACCAGACCCGACCAGAGTTAGAGGTAGGCCAGGCGCCACTTAGTGGAACAATATTAAGAAGCAGATGGACCAGGACAACCTTACTATATAGACATCCCAGAACAGATTTCTCTGGCGCAGATGGGGGAAATCCGACCCAAGATAAACTAGGAACATGGGTTGGACAGAGAGAGCGTGGAAAATATAGTTTTAAGCGCTGATTTTGAGTTGGTCCAACAGTATATTTATTAAACATGTTATAAATTTACGGAAAAAAAATATATTTCACTTTTTCTATCAGTTGTCTAGTACCCATAACACAAGCTCTGCTTAGCTTGGTACTAGATAGAGCTGTGTGAATTGTCCAGGGTTATATATATACTATTATGTATTTGTTTACCAGATTCGCCGAATCCTAGAAGGCAAGCTGTTCCCCATGAAGGCCCTGGGTTACTACGCGGTGGTGACTGGCCGAAGTCGAAAGGACGACTCCATACAGAGCATTCGAGAATACGAGGAGAGGTTCTTCCGATCCTCAAAGCTGTTCAAGTAAGTAGTCATATGTATAGATGGACTTAGCGGTGTAGCGGGTTAGCGCACCGGTTAACTTGTTTGCTGGTTCGATTTTCGCAGGATACAAACTTTTGATTCTTTGTGTTGGTCTTGGTACCTTGGAATCAAACAAATTTTTAGCACAGGCACAAGTGTTTAGGTCAGATTTTCATGTTTTTTGTTGTCCTGTCTTCAGAGACGGGCTGGTGACCCCATCGCAGGTGACCACACGCAACCTATCGCTGGCGGTGGCGGACTGCTTCTGGCGGATGGTAAGAGCCTCTGTGGAGCAGCAGGCAGACTCCTTCAAGGCCATGAGGTTTAACCTGGAGACAGAGTGGAAGAACACCTTCCCAAGGTAAGCAACACGTCGGATTTTCTTGTTAACATTTAATTTCATAGATTTATTCAATGGATTATTATTTTTTTAAATTTCGCTTTTGTTTTTTTTTGTCGGGGTTTGGGCTATTTTCAGGTGCTTTAGACCTGTAGGATCTACATAGACCTATTATACTCGCATAATATTGAGTAGTGATGGGTGGTAAGAGGATTGTTAGTAATATAGACTAACTCCCTTGTCATCCCTATATGAGGTTGATTTACACGTGAGAGAGAGGTCATTAGAGAACCTCTACGGTTTCCACCATTGTGGTAAATTGCCATTCGCTAAGACGGGCTGATTTAAGTTCACGCTCATCTTACCATTCTTCTCTGGTGCTCCGTCAGCGTAACCAGTCAGAGTCGGTCAATCGGGAGCACCATTACAAAAAAAAACACTAGTTAATAAAATTGATATGAACGCGTCGCGTCCGCAGACAGCGCGAGCTGGACCGCGACGAGCTGTTCGAGCGCGCGCGCGCGCGCTGTGGGCCGCCGCCGCCGACCGGGTCCTCCACGCCGTTGGACCAGTCGGCCGAGCTGTCGGGACCGGTCGGCGGACCGGTCGGCCGAGCTGTCGCCCGCCGCCTGGCAGCTGCGGCTGCAGCGCGCGCTGTGGGCCGCCGCCGCCGACCGGGTCCTCCACGCCGTGTACCTGCCGGCCGCCGCCGCCGCCCACCACCACGTCGGTACGTACGGACGACCGGCCGCCGGACCGGTCGGCGGACCGGTCGGCCGAGCTGTCGGCCCTCCCGCCCGCCGCCTGGCAGCTGCGGCTGCAGCGCGCGCTGTGGGCCGCCGCCGCCGACCGGGTCCTCCACGCCGTGTACCTGCCGGCCGCCGCCGCCGCCCACCACCACGTCGGTACGTACGGACGACCGGCCGCCGGACCGGTCGGCGGACCGGTCGGCCGAGCTGTCGGCCCTCCCGCCCGCCGCCTGGCAGCTGCGGCTGCAGCGCGCGCTGTGGGCCGCCGCCGCCGACCGGGTCCTCCACGCCGTGTACCTGCCGGCCGCCGCCGCCGCCCACCACCACGTCGGTACGTACGGACGACCGGCCGCCGGACCGGTCGGCCGAGCTGTCGGCGCTGCCCACCGAGTCATTATGTACATACAACCGGTCGGCCGACCAGTAAGCCGAACTGTCGGCTAAGCTGTCGCCCACCATGTCGATACATACAAACGACCGGCCGCCGGACCCGTCTGCCAAGCTATCGGGTAAAGCACGACAACACGTACATACATTTCATTATAAGCTGACAATCCACCTTAAAAAAGCAACCAGCCAACAAAAGTGAGCAGATTTCAATTTTGATTGAATATATATATTTGATTTCATAACTAAATTATTTCCACTTTGTAGTGCTACTGTAAATTAGCCCTTGTATCCCATCTGATCCTATAACTCCTATCCTAATCTATCTCCTCTCTTCACCAGCCAATGTTCCTCGTCAGATCAAGTATCAACATCCTACGAAGAGTACCACGATATTACTGGATTCCATGGATTTAGACTTTAGTGAGATATACATTTATATGTAGTACTACCTGCGTCCGCGATTTCACTCGCGTAAAATTAGCCCATCAGTCAAACAGAACAGCTCGTAGGCTATAAAAACCTATTCTGTTAGTGTTATTCTGATTTGTAAGTGTATATATTGAATGATACGATGTTGTTGGTCGAGACGATGTATATTACAGATGATAATAGACTGACAATGTGTACATAAAAATAATGATCTTATATACTAAATAACAATAGGAAAATGTAAGGTGTGACACAATTTAGACACAGCAGTGCCTAGTAGACAATTGAATTTGTCTTACTAGACATTATTAAATGCAATTATTATTTTGTATCTAGGTGACTGTGTCCCATAGTAAGCTATATTATTGTAAGTTTAATTCAGTAGTTTTTACATAAAAAAGTAATGAACATCCATCCTTACAAACTTTCACGTTTATAATTTGTTTTATTAATATATTTCACTAGAATGAAGACTAACTGCTTTTTTATAAAACAAATGACCTTTCTATGATTTCATATTTCTTAAAACATACAACTACTTAAAATTATTTAGCTATATAAAAGAACAAAATAGTCAGTCTATAGTTTGTAATACTCTAAACATTACTATATGTACGGAAACCACATAACTGTATGTGTTACTTAAATATTGAAAATATGTTGTGGAAACTTCTTAGAAAGCTTAAATCTAATCGTCTAAAAATGCGATTCAAGAAATCAGTATCGTAGGTACAGCACTTCTCCGCTACAGCTGGTAACAATATTTGAAATTTTGACATTTAAACCTGTCAATTTCTTGACATTGACATCTGTCATTTTAGTCTCGAGATTAAAAAGGCTGTATATTATGTTATAGGTATAATTAGTATTTCTTATTTAATTACAGTTAAATATTTTAATTGAAAAACACAATTTTCCATCCGAATATTGGTTTTAAAAACAATTTATTGACGGCCTCGGTGATCTAGCGGTTTAGCACGCCGCTTTACTTCCGATGGTCGCGGGTTCGAATCCTCGCACGGTGCAAACATTTGTATTCATGAGTAAGATTGTATGTATCAGTCTGAGTGTTTTCTATGTATATTATGTATGTATTTATAAAAAAAATCTATGTATTTATATTCGTTGTCTAGTACCCATAACACAAGCTCTGCTTACTTTAATTACGTTAATTGTTCAGAGTTGTTTATTTATATATTATTATTATGTATAAACAGAGAAATTCAACACATCCGTGGACATAAAACTACGCGAGTGGGCCGAGGGTGAGCTGCCGCTGCAGTCCATCATGGCCGGCAGGGAAGCCCTCAAGGTGGAGTTCACAGAGCTGATGGCCAGCACCACAGACTCGGACCCCATCTACGAGCCCGTCAAGAGGGAAGCGGTCGAGGAGGCGCTGCGGAGGCATCAGTGGGAAGAAAGAGCACAAGATGTTAGTATTAGCTGCTCTTTCACGTGTGAATGAGCTCAGAAGAAATGTGCACGTAAATGTTGAGAAAGAAAACAAGAAAGACGTGTGTCGTGAAGTTCCGCTTTTTTCTATCGTCCGTTCTTTAGCCTATTTTCGGTTAACGGTTAATTAACTGCATTGTAAGTTCAGTTTCAGTAGCTAAAGCCCAAAAAGGATTGACCATGAGCAAAACACAAATTAGTTTTATAAAATGCTCAACTAGATACTTCAAAAACAAGCTCATGTCTGTTCTGGATATTACAGCATAGTGGACTATTTTAATAGATACGTATAAAAATTATTATAAAATCCCAGAGGATGTAGGTGTTTAATTATCCTTGCCAGATAACTTCCTTTATTAGAAAAAATAAAACAGATTTTTCATTTGTCTTTTTATTGTGTAGTTTTTTATCGTAGTCGAATAACTAACCGTTAATAACTGGATTTTATTAGTAGTTAACCATAAATTTCCTTACGCATAATGGTAGCTAACGGCATTTTTATAACTATAGACGTGTGTCGTCAGGTCGTTTGCCTGTCCTACTATGGTGTACTTTCGGCCCATGGTGTATTTTTGTGCTACCGTGTAGGTTGGTCCCATAGTATATATTCATCCCAATGGGGTACTTTGAGCCCTAGGTGTAGTTTGGTCCCACGGTGTAGTTTCGTCCCAACAGGGTACTATCATCCCACGGTGTAGTTTGGTCCCACAATTTGGGTACTTTGAGCCCTAGGTGTAGTTTGGTCCCACGGTGTAGTTTCGTCCCAACAGGGTACTATCATCCCACGGTGTAGTTTGGTCCCACAGTGTAGTTTGGTCCCACAGTGTAGTTTCACCCCACAGTGTACTTTCTTTCCACGGTGTAGTTTAATTGCATAGTGTACTTTCGACCCGTGGTGTGGTTTCGTCCCGCGGTGCGGTGGTGTGACGGTGCCGTTGTCCGGCAGGTGCTGCGCGTGCTGCAGCTGAACGCGCTGCAGGACCGGTGCGTGGGCTCGCGGGCCGACTGGGACGACGCCGTCGCACTCATGGACTCCGCGCTGCGGGACCGGCTCGCGGACACGGACAAACAGCTCAACCAACTCACTGGTACCGCTGTGGCCCCATAACTGTATCTTAATGACGAGGTCTCGATCATCTGAAGGTTTAGCACGTCACCTCACTTCCGATGTCGATTGTCGATTTCTCGCACGCTACAAACATTTGTATTCATGAGTATAATTCTTTGTATTGATCTACGGCGATCGCTATTTATATTATTACGGCATTTAATGAGCGGCGAGCAAAATTTCTTGTGATTGGCTTGCCTTCCGAATGTATGGTAGAATTAAATCAGTATGACTCTTCAAAAGTGCTTATATAATAATAATATTTTAGGACAATTCACACAGCGCCATCTAGGCCCAAGCTAAGCAGAGCTTATGTTATGGCAACTGATATAAATACATAGATTATTTTTAGTAAAACATACATAGAAAACACCCAGACCGGTACATACTCATAAATACAAATGTTTGCACCGTCCGAGGAATCGAACCCACGACCATCGAATAGTAAAGCGGCGTGATAAACCCCTAGACCACCGAAGCTGTCAATATGTTAAGTTTATTTAAATAAAGATTATTCTCCATTTGATTTGCAATCGCTTGCACACTCTCGTACAAAGTACTCGTATGCTACTTCATTATAAAACAAATATTTCGAATGATACTGCGTCCAGGTCCAGGGTTCAAGGAGCGCTGGCTGTACTGGCGCTCCAGCTCGGAGGAGCAGGTCCGGCACGGGGAGGTCCGCCGCGAGCTGGAGAGGCTCGGCTGCGACCGCCCCGCACTCACCTACGACCAGGTCGCGGCCGTCAGGGACAACCTCCGCAGGAAGGGCATCGAGGTCGACAACGACCTCGTGCGGGACATATGGAAGCCGGTGTACTTGAAGTAAGTCTACCAGTCTACAGGTTCTGAATCACTGTTCAAATCACATTCCTCGCAAATGGACTTTTCGTTTCGTAATTTTTTTTTTGTAAATAAAATTACAAAACTAAAATACACCATATGACGATGATCCCATCGTAACAATACTAAATAACAAGAAAAAAAAAACAGCTTATTCATTTTGTGAAGTTTCTTTTCGTCTAAGACGTCATGCCTTTTATTTGTATTAAATTTTAATTTGGCTTAAACAAAATGAACGAGACTAAAGTAATCTTCATAAAGATTACTTTTAATACTGTACTTCTGGAAACTAATTTAGTATCTGCTGAATAAATTATTTTATGAACATAATTAATAAATGAAGATAATATTTTAAGGAAGGTGTTACATATGAATGTGGATGGTTATAAGGGCAGAGGAAGGCCGAAAAAGAGATGGATGGACTGTGTAAAAGATGATATGGTGAGAAAGGAAGTAAATAACGAGATGACTGTGATCTGGGATGAATGGAAGAGTGATATATATAAAGTAACAGGCTAGTAATGGAAACAACTGTTATGCACAAGTACTGGTTTATTACTGGCTGTCATTGAGTTACAGGCTCTCTTACATTATTAGGAGGTAGTTTTTTTATGGGTGATAATGGGATGGTGTTCCTGCCTGCCCTAACGGTTTGCGCTGGTAAGGCAGCGGTGGAGGATGATGAAATGAGCATGAGGTCAGGTCAGTTAGCCCATCGTGACAAATTCGCCAGGAATTTATCACGATGGTTTCTAGGGGGAACCGCGTGGAGGTCAACCTGACATGGTACATTGTTCAACGGGGTCATGAGTCCACATTACTAACAATCCCTTTCCCCCAGGAGGTAGTTATAATAATAGTGGTAGGTAGGTAGCTACACATCAACAACAACAAAAAATATATTACGTCGACCACAAATAAATGGGATAAGGAAAAAGCAGATGATGATGAATTAATAATATTATTTATTAATTTTGTGTTCCAGAAATTTCCTTCAGCAAGCACAGACGAGAGCACGTGATTGCAAGAAGAGTTTCTATTTGTACAGTCAACAGAATGGAGAGGAAGTGAGTCGATTACATTTCTCTATCTCTGATTCCCCACTCATATCTCTTCTATATAAAGAAGAGAAAGATGTATATGACGATAACTTATCGTGTATATAAACTCCACGACTAGAATCTCAAATAGGATAGGCAGAGCCATTGTTAACTATTAGCGTTAAAGGAAACCTTATGTGCAAACGAAATATCGCCTTTAGAAAGTTTACACTCTATCCTGAGGAGATAAAAATCATCGCTCTTAAGAATATCCTTCAATTCTTGTCCCTGACAGGTCTACGTAGTGAACTCTGAAAAAGGACGAACATAATAGATCTATGTAGATCGCATTGCTACAGGTCTAAAACACCTGACAATAGCACTAACGCCTCAATAAAAAAAAAATTCAACCTCAAACTCTTCACATAACCTCGGTAGTATAGTGGTTTAGCACACCACCTTATTGCAGATGGTCTCGGGTTAGATTCCACGTATGATGCAAAACATTTATATTCCTAAGTATGATTGTTACTCCCGGAATGCATTACTTTCCTCGTCTGTCTAAAAGTGTGTGTGTTTTTTTTTTGTAGAAAGAGTGTTGCGAAGTTGTGATGTTCTGGAGAGTACAGCAGACCCTGAGGACCACAGCGGCTGCGCTACGGCAGCAGATCGGCAACAGGGAGGCTGCAAGGCTAGATAGAGAACTCAGGGAGGTCTTAGACGAGGTATGTTTAATATATGTCATGAAATTAAATTACTTAGATGTGATTTTACATAATTATATTAGTCATTTCTGACATACAATAAGCAACATGTACCATTTTTCTCTATATACTATGTAGGTAGCAATCATGCATACGGCCTACCTGATGATAAACGGTTACCGTAGAGCATGGACGCCTGAAACACTAGTGGTGTTACATGCGCGTTGCCGACCCATAAGAAACCTTAATATACCCTTCTTGAAAAACCCCATCCTGTATTCTCGTGAGAAAACCTCGGCAGGTAGTTCATTCCACAATCTAAGTGTACGCGGGAGGAAGCTCCTCTGAAACCGCACTGTCCGAAACTACTTAGTTTCCAGCGTGTGGGAATGAATAATAATAATATGTGTTATCCTGATTAGGTATATTACTGTAAAGTTTCATCAAAATCCGTTCAGTAGCTTTTCCGTGAAAGAGTAACCTCCATCCATACTCATAAACTTTCGCGTTTATAATATTTATAAGATATTGTGTACCACATAAAAAATATTTTTATGTATTAATATAAATGTTTAATGTTTTTTTTAAAAGATGGCATCCGACCCGGAAATTAAAAAGAAATTATTATCTGGAAGACGAGTTGAACTCGCCGAGGAATTAAGTAAGTTAACAACATATTTTTATCTTTGATAGCCTCTGTGATCTTTCGGTTTAGCACACAGCTTTACTTACAATGGTAGTGGATTCGATTCCTCGCACGGTACCATAATTTGTATTCATGAGTATGATTGTTTGTATCGGTCTGGCTGTTTTTTACGTATGTTATGTATGTATTTACAAAAAAAAAGTATCTAAGTATTTATATCAGTTGTATAGTACCCATAACACAAGCTTTAACTAGCTTAACTTAGGTCTAGATGGCGCTGTGGCACTGTCCGATGGTCGTGGGTTCGATTCCTCGCACGGTACAAACATTTGTATTCATGAGCATGATTGTTTGTATCGGTCTGGGTATTTTCTATGTATCATATGTATTTATTTAAAAAAAAAAAATGTATCCATGTATTTATATCAGTTATCTAGTACCCATAACACAAGTTCTGCTTAGCTTGGGACTAGATGGCGCTGTGTGAATTGTCCTGAAATATTATTATTATTATAATTATAGCCTATCCTGATGTATGAGCTATATTACTGTAAAGTTTTATCAAAATTCCTTCACAATTTTTGCATAAAATGGTAACAAACATCCATACTCACAAACTTTCGCGTTTATAATATTAGTATGATAGTTATTATTATATATTGTTTACTTTATAAACAAATTATGAATTAAAATCAGTTCGCATTCGGTCATCAAGGACGCCGCGTACTCATTTCAATCATTAATCAGTTATACTTTAAGTTTCAATACACAGTTTTAATCAAGTTTCTATCAGTATCATTTATCAGTTTTAACTATCAGAATCTTTATAGTTTCGGTACAACCCGAACAGTACAGTTCTCACAAATGTTTTTTTTTTTCTAGAACGAGTACGACAAGTGCAAGAGAAGCTGGAGGAGTTTATAGATGCACTCAACAAAGAGAAATAGTTTTATTGTATATTGTAGTGTAACAAGAGTCAAACGAGTTCCGTACGTGAGGTATAATGTCAACTATATTTTATTTTTATTTATTGAATAACTGTATCCGCGACTTCGCTTGATCTTTACCAACTATAAAAAAAAAAAAATCTAGTCCAAAAATCTAAAGAAAAATTTTTCATCGCACTACTTTCAAAAATTACAAATTTATTTATAGAAACTTTCATCCCCTATTTTGTTTATGAAGGTATTTACCTCTGTTGACTTTTTTTTAATGGATGATAATGGTATGGTTCTCATCCTGCGCTAACGGATTACGCTGGCGGGGCACCAGTAAAGGATGATAAGATGAGCATGAGGTCAGGTCAGTTAGCCCATCGTGACTAATTCACTAAGAATTTATAATGATGGTTTCCAGGGAGAACCGCGTGGAGTCACCCTGACATGGTACAGTGCTAGCAATGAGGTCGTCACATTACTAACAATTCTCTTGCCCATACCTGTTTTGACGTTTCCATTAAGTGTAAAAACAGCAGGAGAGAGCCTTTTTACAATTAAATTACTTGTGTTCAGACCCGGTTATCATGGGACTTGATGGTGCTGCGTTAATTATTCATAGTTATTTATTTATTATAAATTTGAAAGAAGTCTAAGTGATTTCTATTTTATTTCTAACATCCTCTGACTCGGTTTTTGGCGTTTTTCCTATGTTCTATTATTATTCGACCTCTACTGTTATTATATGCATATTGGTTGGTTTTTGATTATATATAATAGTTGTAAATGAATTGCCATATAGATATCTCATGTACGGAACTATTTATATATATAACTATACAATAAACACGCTGTGTATAGATAGACAATGTACAGCACGACAGTCATACCAAATATAGTTACATTTTAAAGTTAGACTTTTTAATTGTAGCGAAATGTAGGAATGAAAGATTAAAATTTATGAGATATTTTGTGAAGTGAATTTTTTCATAAAAGTAATTTAAACTATGTATTTGTACTATATATTTATATATATGTGTATATGTCCACCAAATCTGGTCCGATTCTGACAATTTTGCAAATTTTGTCACTATTGGATTTGTTTTTATTAAAATCTTAACCTATTTACTTAGTCTGAATGCTGTAAAACATAAAACGTAAATGTTTTGTGTAAAACTAGTTAACCAGTGAGGTTTAAAACGGAATAACTATAAAATTGTTGTTACTTAGGTTTCAAACACCGGAATAATCATAGTGCAGCCAATTTTGGCGGCAAATAAGTAATTTAATGTTAGGTTAGGTTTTTGCGCGCCATTTTTCTAATACTCACTACGAAGTTTAGGAATGGTTCATTGATTAAAATAAAACAAAAATTGACTCTTTTTTTTAGTATTTTATTTTATTAATAACAATATGCATTTATAAAATTGTTTTTACATATGTACAAAAACTGAAATACACTAACTTGTTGGTTGTTATGAACTATTTTAAATTAATGGTCATTAAATTAGGTATCTACGTATATAATGGGGTCTAGATTATATTTGCGACATATTTCGATATAGAAAACAAACAATATCAATGCATTTAATAATATACTTGTAATTATCATTTAAATTTCAGTTGAAAACAATTTTTATATATTTTTATGGATTGTTACTTTAAATATATTGTAAATTATAGTTGGCACACAAGTCGAGATAGATGGCGTTATGTATTTCTTTTTATTTTTTTATTCTGGCAAGAAGTGTATTGTTAATGAAATTAAAAAAAACAAACAACCATAATGCATACATATATTTATGTGAAACTAAAGATTTATCATTATAATCTTCAATTAAAGTTAAATACATAGAACCCTACATCTTACCTTTTTTTTTTATTTACATATTGACTTAGTTACGATATATAAAATGCTATATTAATAATATGTATATATATTATTCGCGATCTGGGAAACTTGGTGTTATTGAAACCGATTTATAAATATTGTAAAGTTTTTGTTTCATAACAATACGGACACATAATTTCCTAATAGATGGCCTTAATACTGCATCAGTTATTGATAAATTATTGCTCTCTATTTGTTTGTCTGTATTTTATATTAATTATTATATAATGGGAATTCAGAGAGCTATGTTACTCGCCTCTTCGACAAGTTTTGTGAATTTCGGATGTATTGAAATCATTAAGAAGTAAGTCCATTAAATTCCCTTTAATTATAAAAGTATTGTTAAAAACTAACATATGAACATGTGTATGTATTTTATCGAATTATGTATTTTGCGGAAGTCCATCTCATTCTCTTCTTAATTGGTTTGGTCGCCAACATGAGTTTTCCACACTATATCCAAACTCTATTCATTGCCTGATGATGCCTCGTTCAGAGGCGAAACACATATCGGAATATGGGTGTAGATCAGTGGCGTAGTTAGGTAACCAAGGGCCCTGGGGCAAATCAAAAATAGGGCCACTGCTGAGCAGTGGGGCCCTACATTACAATTTTATTAAAACGCACATATCGCTATCCGTCAAATTGACAATTAGGAAAGAATTTAGGGGAATTCCGAAGGTATAACTTTCGAATTACTCTCAACTCAGTTGCCACGATTAAAGTTCATTTAGATCGAGATTTTCTAGTAAGGGTTCGAGGGATTAAGGGCCCCGGGGCACTAGCCCATAGGTAGCTACGCCACTGGTGTAGATCCAATAACAGTCGGAAATTGATCATCAATAGAGATAGAATCGTAACGCTTCCAGTAGCTGTGGTCAGGTTTCCACACTGAATATTTGTGGTCTCACACATGCTAATGGTAATAGAATTAAACAAAATAATACAAATCCATTAAGTATGTGAATGGTATATTATTTGAATCAACGTGATTATATACTATTCTTGTAACTACAATTTTATATAAATTGTACCTAATTTTAGGATAATTTTTGCTTATGAGAGACTCTTGTTGAGAATATCTACAATGCCTATTTATTCTAAGCTTTGCTTTTCTAAGATTGCCCATGAAATATGGTACAAAATTAAACATAATGCTATACACATTCTTTATCTATGGCGGCTAGTAGATATGCAATTTAAATTAAAATAGCAACACATGGTACAATGGGTGGTCACATGATGGTGTAAGGTCCGTAGCCTGTTCATGTAATTTTTTTATTGAGGCTTTTCGAGTCCTTGCCAGCTGCATTAGACCTGTAGCACTGCGCACATCTTTAACTACAGCATACAATGTAGCTCGCCTATATAGATCTATTTTGCTCGCCCTTTTTAAAAGTTCGCTACCTAGACCCGTTCATGTAGATACTTGATGATACTTCTATCAGGCAGCCCTTTAACTTAAATATAAAAATTTATTATCCAATATTTTCTTCCATATTTGAAAATAGTAAATTGGGTAGTGTATTCTGTAAGGAAATCTCTAAAATATGTTATTAAATCTCAAACTATGATGTATGTACATTGTTAAAGATCACGATTTAATATTGGTATGGCTGTGTGCCCGTACTTATGTTGTATTATTTTGTTATTACTTTAACTGCTTGATATAAGTTATCTTGTAATAAAATGTTGCAGAAAATTGTGTTGTTTTCTTTTTAAAATATATGTGATCTAATATAAGAACTAAAACATACAGTTTAGCCAAACGACATTTATAATGACAACGAGTGTGTTATACAATATTTGGTCTGTACTCGAAAAGAGAAGGACAGCTGAGGATTTTTTTGCCTTTTAATTAAACATGCATTAACTATCACCATGCTGTTCGCCTTTGGAATTCTCTACCTTACTCCATTCACTATTTTTAAGAATTCTGTTAAATCCCATTATCTCTCCACTTTAATTTTCCTGTCTCCTCTTGCTTTGTTTCTTGTTCCTTTGCATATATTATTGTTTTGTACTTGCATTTTTGTGTATTTATATATGTATGTATATATTTTATTTATAGTATAATGTGTGTTATTTTCTAACATTTATATGTATTATTATCCTATCCCTATTATTACCTTTATATATATATTCTTCCATTCTACTGATGCGCTACCTACTACTATTGTAGTATTTTCTCTACCTACAAAGGTTGTCTGGAAAGGATTGCTTCTTGTGATAAGACCGCCTTTTGTACATCTATATCTCTTTTCTATATAATTCTTATGTAAAATGATTCGTGCAATAAAGAGTTTATAAATAAATAAATAACACCGCGTCCCAAACTAAAAAATACTAATCTCTCTCCCACCTCCTCTGAACTGGAAGCCGGGTACACACATGCCTTGGTGGTCTAGCGGTTTGATGTTCGGGCCGTTTTGAGATCTTGCGTTTGTAATCGTATTAGGTTTACTATTTCATTCAATTCAGCCTATATCTATTCACTGTTGGATATAGGCCTTTCCCATTACTTTCCACCATGTGCGAACTTCCACTTTAATGATATCGTCGGTACTTTACTCTCCCTTAACCTATACGCGGACTCCACCCCATAACTTATGTCACATTAATTCAATTCATAGTATTGCATTCAAACAATACCTCATTTCAATGTCATCGATTTGTTTCAACATGTCGTAAACCTTGCTTTCTCCTGAATCTTTATTAGTTTTAAATTCTTCATAAATATAGAGAGCTAATAATTTACTTTCGTTGTGTCTACATTCACTTAAAAATCCTTTTAATAATGACCAAATGAAAACATCTCTACTTTTGTGGTAGTTGAAATATTGCCTAAAATAATCTGACATTAAATGAGAATAGATTTCTACAATGGAATCGAAATACCGTTTCGTAAGATCTTTGATTTCATAAGCCAAATATTTACCGAATGTTGACCCCACTATAACAACACCCTCATTTAACGTTCGTTCCGGATCTGAGAATATATCAGGCTTATGTTTAATACACTGTCTTATAGATTTACAATACAACATTGTTAGATGCAACTTCGTATATTTGTTAAAGTACTTCATCGTTGGTAACATTTCTTGCATCCATTCTGCAACTCTCTTAAAGACAGGTAAACTCGTAACATAAGCTCTGTCTAAAAATACTTTACTATATTTCAATGAAAGCAAAATATAATCCAACACTCTCAAAATGGTATGTCGGTTGACGCTCTCTGGCGATTGCCAAAGATGTTTTAATTTGTTTAAAAGCGGTTCCCCAATCAAAGTCATTCGTCGTTTCTGCAATTCTTCATTGCGACAAAGGAGCAAATACTTTACAATTACCCATAGATATATTTTAGTTATCGTCATATCAAATGTTTCTTCATTCGAAATATTATCTATCGCCAATTCATTGTTGATGAAATCTTCAACAATTTCTATTATAATTTCTTCATCTACATCACCCAATAGTGATTTGAGACTACGAATTACTCTTATTGCTGTATTTTTTCCAACCTTTCGAACAACTCTATACAGTATAGCGCAGTATTCAACTCTTATTATGAGTGGTATCATTTGTACTTGAAGAAGTGAATCTTGTAGTTTTTTATGTTTTTGTAGATCAAGTTCTGCTATGACTGGTTTAACAGTCTCCCAAATACGTCGGTCAAAAACATCCCCCTGATGTCGCATATATTTCAACGCATATTTGATTGAAAGTATGGGTCTCATAGTTATTGCTTTAGAAAATATTACTCCCTCCTGACCACTTCTAGAAGCAAGCATAAGCCCTAATTTAACCGTGCGACCTTCCATCATTAGTTTATCTATGTATTCACCAATCTTATTAGTTCTACAAATTAATATTTTATTAGCAATGGCTTTGACATCGGCTTCATTCCAAGCAATATCGTCTAAATTAAATTTTGGAATTGCTAAATGAACATTGGTCCATAACGCAGTTGCATATTGCTTTTGAATAATTGTGTTACGTTCCAATTTCTTTAGTCGTGTGTATATCGAAGGTCCTGCTAATAGTGCTACAGAGCGAGCTAGATCTGCATGAAATCTAGTAGCACATTGACTCTCAATGACTGCTAAATAATTTTCTGCTATGCCTCCCTGTTCTGAGAAGTAAACACTCAACTTACGTAGGAAGCTATCATGATGAATTTTACTTTTTACTAATTCACAAAAAATATTATTTTTCATTAATATTGAAGTGTCATGGCGTAAAGCATTTAGGTATGATGCATTATTTTTAATGTAACTAAAATTTTCCTGAAATAGTTCCTTACGAGCTATACGTGAAAGAAATAAACGGTTTAAGAGCTCACGGCAAATTGGAAGATTTTGATGTGTAAGTGAAACAATCATTGGTAATACACCAGGATATTTATCAGGACGTATATGATAGTCGTTCAACACATCGAGCAACTTTTGCAATTGTGTAACTGCCTGCGTAGGTTCCACATCCGAAGAGGGTAGTAGCATTTCTGGTAATTTTTCTGCGACACATTTTTTCTCTGTTGAATTCAGTTTATACTCAGTGAAAGTCGAGAATTTTTCTAGAAACTTAGTAAAAACTTCAGGAGGACAGTTGCTACTCGACAATATATGGCGCAGTACAACAGCGTGTAAACCCTCGTCACAGTTTACGTCAGACTTTGTACCATCTAAGCCAAGGCCTTGTGCAAATTTGAGGAACATTTGCCATATAGTTATTGGCATTTGCCAAACGTTTGCACGTTTCACCATGCTACGCACTACAGCGGAACGAACATGCGGGGGTTCGTTTGCATGGCATTTTAACAGTAGTTCAAGTAACTCTCCAATATTTTCTGGGTTACCACCACTTTTGCTAACTAAGACTAACATCATGTACTCGCGAATCTGTGAAGAACTTTCTGCTTGCATTTTTTTGCTAAGCTTTATAAAAGTTTTCTTAAAAGAAGAAAATCGATAGACATCGAATAGTTCATCTAAAGTAATCATTTGATGTTTACCTTTCCTCTTTATAAGTTTTCTTTTCTTTACTGATTTTAAGGAACGTTCTTCATCGTTATCTATGAACATATGATTATGGTTTTGAGAAATTTGCATTTCAGGTGGGCAAGGAGGTGAATACGGCCACTCATTTATTAATTCGCCAACAGATTTGTCCACAAACACTAGATTTTTGAAGGAACTTCTCTCGTCTTGCGGCAAACGAGTAATTAATGGTTCTAGATTTTTATATGAAAACCACGAATCAAGGTATTTCGCTCGAGCAAGTTTAAGCACTATGTTTTTCACTTCTGGGGCGGACAAGCATTTAGCTAACGTTTTCATATCCAGTAACATAGCTGTATAAAGTTCTGGTTTATCATAGAATCTACATCTGTGATTATTCATGATATATAGCGTTGCTGTAGGACTGAATCTTTTAAATTTGTTATTATTATAATATTTTTCTGTTATATCTAAAAATAACTCTGCCTCTGCTTTTAACAAAGATTTGAGACTATGGTAATATTTATGTTCATTGGATAAGTAAATAGACAACAATTTTTGATTCGTTGGCAACATTTCAAAGTATATCCTGATGACTTGTGGACACTTTTCACAAAGCAGTTTCATATGGTGAGGAGTTATCTTATCTAAAATGTTCACAGCCGCTTTGGAGATAAAGTCAGTGCTACAGTTCCAAAGAAATTTAAGAGCCACATCGATATTAGAAGAGTAATAAAGGTAAAACTCGTGACATCTCTCAACGTCACGCAATTTTATATAAATCCAATGTTTCATTTTGTTGACAGCAGTTGTTAACATGTCTGGGTACAGTCTGTCCTCTAAATATCCTGGATTTATGATATTCCGATATTGAGACTCCAACAACCAGGTACATCTAAGAGCTCTGCTCACGTACAAAATGTTGTCATCTTTTAAATTGTTTACAATGTATTGTACATGACGATACTTGGATGCAAGGTCTATCTTATAAAGGCGATCTATAACTGTATGTTCTGGAAGATTCTCTACAGATTCGAACGGTAGCCCCTGCTGGTAAGAATCGTTCACCAAACTGTTAAGGTGATGATGACGTTCACCCAAATTATTGCCGCATAAAGTAATTGGGATTGGAGTCGCCATCTGGAATAAATAAACACATTTGCTTAATAATACCGACTAGTGTCAAATAACGTTTGTACCAGTATATAAATTAAAAAATTAAATGATATAAATATACAATAAATAAATTAAATAACATATATTACGCATGAAAAAAGTCGACGAGCGACTAAGTAGGAAGACTACAACACGCTGAGCGCAACCGTTGTGTTTTAGTGCCCTTACTTAAATACTCAAGCCTCAATACATTATACACATACATACATACATTTTAATCTGAATGACCCCAAAAATCTTACAAAATAATATACAATGATTAACCCAATTTTGTCAACTGTCGATGTCGTAGTTAGTATATGCAACAAACATCACATACAATAATAGATGAAAACGACAAATGTAATTGACACTGAGGGGGGGGAAAGGGGATTGTTAGTAATGGGAACTAGTAACTCCCATTGCTAGCAATGTACCATGTCAGGTCGACCTTCCCTTGGTTCCCCCTGGAAACCATCGTGATAAATTCCTGGTGAATTTGTCACGATGGGGAAACTGACCTGACCTCATGTTCATCTTATCGTCCCCCACTGGTGCCCCGCCAGGGTAAATGGTTAGCGCAGGCGGTTGCAACATTCCATTATCATCCAAAAAAAAATTGACACTGGATTCAAATATACCTACCTAGTGACCAGAGTTGACTCTACTACTCCATCTGGGGTAAGAATCGAGAAGATATATTATTATAACATTCATAGTCACAAATTTTAATAGAAAAAAAAAAATATAATACATAACTACCAAATAGTCTAAAGTATCAGGATATGTGCTTACCTTATTCAATAGTTACGTAAATATTAACTTCACTCAATGCAATAGCTTTATTAATTGTATTTAGCAAACACGAACCGCATGTTACATTCACAATTCCACTATTTAAAAAAATGAGACACTGCAATTTGCTAAAATAACAGCGGCCTTGGTTCCGCTAAGCATTCAAAATAGACATTCGTAAACACATACAAATTTGTATCTAGATATATGTATGTCTACACACTACATGGATCTACGGACACGTTTTTATTTATGAACCTAGCTGTACCTGCGACTTCGTCCGTGTGGAATTTAACTTTATTTTTCTAAATAAAAGAAGCCTAAGCTACTTCTTATTTCATCAGCTATCTGCCAATAAAAGTCTCGTCAAAATCGGTCTAGCCATTTCAGATTAACCGGAACAAACAGACAGACAAAAATAGTAAAAAATGACATTTTGGTGTATATACCGTATCTGTATTCATGTACGTATGCATGTAGTAAAAAACGGTTATTTCAATATAACAAACAGACACTCCAATTTTGTTTATATGTACATATAGATGATGATAGAATACAGCCTTCGCCTACGGTAACGGTACTGCATCAAAGAAATAGCAGGGGAAAACTGGATGAAGGGTAGCTACAAATAGAAGATCATGGAACGAGTTGGAGCAGGCTTTTTCGTGGAGTCTCATGTGGGGAACCATATATAAAGAAACAAAATTAATTAAACTTGAAATATAAAAAAAACATTAAAAAAAATCTATCACTGTCATGTGAGTTTGTTGTCAATATTTGTAGATTGTCAAATTTATTACAGAAAACTAAAGCATTACAACCAAAAATTCTTATGTATTATTGGATTAAAGAATATAAATAAATAAGAAAAAAAAAACTAAAGAATATATACAGTGTAAAATTACTTCAGAAAAACTTAAAAATTTATCAGGATTCAAGTATTTGACTTAAGTATTTATATATATGTGTATATGTCCACCATATCTGGTCCAATTTTATAATTGTGTGCAAATTTTGTTACTATTCGATTTGTTTTTATTAAAATCCTAACCTATTTACTTAGTATAATTGCTGTAAAATATAAAACATAAATGTTTGGTGTAAAATTAGTTAACTAGTGAGGTTTAAAACGGAATAACCATAAAATTGTTGTTTTTGGCGGCAAAAATAATTTGATAATGGTAACGGAATTAAACAAAAAAATACAAATCCTTTAAGTATGTAAATGGTATATTGAATCAACGTGATTATATGCTTTATTCGTAACTAAAACTTTGTATAAATTGTAATATTTGTAAGATAATTTTTGCTTATGAGAGTACTCTTATTAAGAATAGCTACAATGTCTATTTATTCTAAGTGTGTGAAACACTGCCTTACTTCTGATGGTCGTGGGTCCGGTTCTCATACAATATAAATCAGTTATTTACTACTGATAGTAGAAGCTCTAGTAAGTATAACATTAATATCATATCGGACTATATTTCATTGAGATATTACTTCTGTAATTGTGTTAAGTTTATTATTAGTTTCTTCAAACATTTGTTTCGAAACTCTATGATTACGTGTCATTGCATCATTTCATAGTATTGCATTAAAAAAACACCTCATTTCTATGTCATCAGTTTCCTTCAATATTTTATAAAGTTCGTTTCGTCCTGATTCTTTATTAGTTTTAAATTCTTCATAAATATATAGAGCTAATAATTTACTTTCGTTGTGTCTACATTCACTTAAAAATCCTTTTAATAATGACCAAATGAAAACATCTCTACTTTCGTCGTAGTTGAAATATTGCCTAAAATAATCTGACATTAAACTAGAATAGATTTCTACAATGGAATCGAAATACCGTTTCGTAAGATCTTTGATTTCATAAGCCAAATATTTACCGAATGTTGACCCCACTATAACAACTCCCTCATTTAACGTTCGTTCCGGATCTGAGAATATATCAGGCTTATGTTTAATACACTGTCTTATAGATTTACAATACAACATCGTTAGATGCAACTTCACATATTTGTTGAAGTACTTCATCGTTGGTAACATTTCTTGCATCCATTCTGCAACTCTCTTAAAGACAGGTAAACTCGTAACATAAGCACTGTCTAAAAATACTTTACTATATTTCAATGAAAGCAAAATATAATCCAACACTCTCAAAATGGTATGTCGGTTGACGCTCTCTGGCGATTGCCAAAGATGTTTTAATTTGTTTAAAAGCGGTTCCCCAATCAAAGTCATTCGTCGTTTCTGCAATTCTTCATTGCGACAAAGGAGCAAATATTTTACAATTACCCATAGATATATTTCGATTATCATCATATCAAATATTTCTTCATTCGAAATATTATCTATCGCCAATTGGTTGTTGATGAAATCTTCAACGATTTCTATTATAATTTCTTCATGTATTTCACCTAATAGTGACTTGAGACCTCGAATTACTCTTATTGCTGTATTTTTATGGACCTTTCGTATAACCCTATACAATATAGCGCAGTATTCAACTCTTATTATGAGTGGTATCATTTGTACTTTAAGGAGTGTATCTTGTAGTTTTTTATGTTTTTGTAAATCAAGTTCCGTTATGACTGGTTTAACAATCTCCCAAACACGTTGGTCAAAAACATTACCCTGATGTCGCATATATTTCAACGCATATTTTATTGAAAGTATGGGTCTAATAGTTATTGCTTTAGAAAATATTACTCCCTCCTGACCACTTCTAGAAGCAAGCATAAGCCCTAATTTAACCGTGCGACCTTCCATCATTAGTTTATCTATGTATTCACCAATCTTATTAGTTCTACAAATTAATATTCTATTAGCAATGGCTTTGGCATCGGCTTCATTCCAAGCAATATCGTCTAAATTAAATTTTGGAATTGCTAAATGAACATTGGCCCATAACGCAGTTGCATATTGCTTTTGAATAATTGTGTTACGTTCCAATTTCTTTAGTCGTGTGTATATCGAAGGTCCTGCTAATAGTGCTACAGAGCGAGCTAGATCTGCACGAAATCTAGTAGCACATTGACTCTCAATTACTGCTAAATAATTTTCTGCTATGCCTCCCTGTTCTGAGAAGTAAACACTCAACTTACGTAGGAAGCCATCATGATGAATTTTACTTTTTACTAAGTCACAAAAAATATTATTATTGATTAATATTGAAGTGTCATGGCGTAAAGCATTTAGGTATGATGCATTATTTTTAATGTAACTGAAATTTTCCTGAAATAGTTCCTTACGAGCTATACGTGAAAGAAATAAACGGTTTAAGAGCTCACGGCAAATTGGAAGATTTTGATGTGCAAGTGAAACAATCATTGGTAATACACCAGGATATTTATCAGGACGTATATGATAGTCGTTCAATACATCGAGTAACTTTTGCAATTGTGTAACTGCCTGCGTGGGTTCCACATCTGAAGAGGGTAGTAGCATTTCTGGTAATATTTCTGCGAGACATTTTTTCTCTGTTGAATTTAGTTTGTACTCAGTGAAAGTCGAGAATTTTTCTAGAAACTTAGTAAAAACTTCAGGAGGACAGTTGCTACTCGACAAAATATGGCGCAGTACAACAGCGTGTAAACCCTCGTCACAGTTTACGTCAGACTTTGTACCATCTAAGCCAAGGCCTTGTGCAAATTTGAGGAACATTTGCCATATAGTTATTGGCATTTGCCAAACGTTTGCACGTTTCACCATGCTACGCACTACAGCGGAACGAACATGCGGGGGTTCGTTTGCATGGCATCTTAATAGTAGTTCAAGTAACTCTCCAATATTTTCTGTGTGACCACCACTTTTGCTAACTAAGACTAACATCATGTACTCGCGAATCTGTGAAGAACTTTCTGCTTGCATTTTTTTGCTAAGCTTTATAAAAGTTTTCTTAAAAGAAGAAAATCGATAGACATCGAATAGTTCATCTAAAGTAGTCATTCGATGTTTATCTTCCCACTTTATTAATTTTCTTTTCTTTAAAAGTGATTTAAAGCATATTTTTTCCAAATATTCATAGCTACCTACGTCTTCGAATATATGATCATCGTTTTGAGAAATTTGCACTTTAGGTGGGTAAGGAGGTGAATACGGCCACTCATTTATTAATTGGCCAACAGATTTGTCTACAAACACCAGATTTTTGAAGGAACTTCTCTCATCTTTCGGCAAACGAATAATTAATGGTTCTAAATTTTTATATGAAAACCACGAATCAAGGTATTTCGCTCGAGCAAGTTTAAGCACTATGTTTTTCACTTCTGGGACGGACAAGCATTTAGCTAACGTTTTCATATCCAGTAACATAGCTGTATAAAGTTCTGGTTTATCATAGAATCTACATCTGTGATTATTCATGATATATAGCGTTGCTGTAGGACTGAATCTTTTAAATTTGTTATTATTATAATATTTTTCTGTTATATCTAAAAATAATTCTGCTTCTGCTTTTAACAAAGACCTGAGACTATGGTAATATTTATATTCATGGGATAAGTAAATAGACAACAATTTTTGATTCGTTGGTAATATTTCAAAGTATATCCTGATGACTTGTGGACAGTTTTCACAAAGTAGTTTCATATGGTGAGGAGTTATCTTATCTAAAATGTTCACAGCTGCTTTGGAGATGAAGTCAGTGCTACAGTTCCAAAGAAATTTAACAGCTACATCGATATTAGATGAGTAATAAAGGTAAATCTCTTGACATCTCTCAACGTCACGCAATTTTATATAAATCCAATGTTTCATTTTGTTAACAGCAGTTGTTAACATGTCTGGGTACAGTCTGTCCTCTAAATATCCTGGATTTATGATATTCCGATATTGAGACTCCAACAACCAGGTACATCTAAGAGCTCTGCTCACGTACAAAATGTTGTCATCTTTTAAATTGTTTACAATGTATTGTACATGACGATACTTGGATGCAAGGTCTATCTTATAAAGGCGATCTATAACTGTATGTTCTGGAAGATTCTCTACAGATTCGAACGGTAGCCCCTGCTGGTAAGAATCGTTCACCAAACTGTTAAGGTGATGATGACGTTCACCCAAATTATTGCCGCATAAAGTAATTGGGATTGGAGTCGCCATCTGGAATAAATAAACACATTTGCTTAATAATACCGACTAGTGTTATTTAAACTTTGTACCAGATAATGCGTAAATAAATGAAATAACATATATTACGCATGAAAAAGTCATTTATGCCGGTACTTTCGTTTCATTTATTTTTGTAGACGAGGGAGTAACTATCCCTATTTACTCCCTCGTCTACAAAAATAAGTAAGACTAAAACGTAACCATTGTGTTTTAGTCCCCCTAGTTAGGTACTCAAGGCTTACATACATTTTATTCTGAATGACCCCAAAAATCTTACAAAATAATGGACAATGATTAACCCAATTTTGTCAACTAACGATGTTGTAGTGAACGCAACAAAAATCACAAAAGTGTCTGATCTGACTGACTCTCCAATGATATAAACGCCAAATACAAAACAAATTAAACACGAGAGACATTGACACTTGATTCAAATAGACCTACCTAGTGATGTATAGTCCATAGTTAACTCTACTACTCCATCTGGGGTAAGAACCGTGAAGATACATTATTTTAACTTTCATAGTCATACAATTTTAATACAGTATACATTTATATCGTACCTAGGCAATACGCAGAAAGTACCTATTAACGTATATACTCACCTTTATCAATATTTATGTAAATATTAACTTCACTCATGTAAATAATAACTTTATTAATTGTATTTAGCAAATACGAACCGCATGTTACCTTCACAATTTCACTATATAAAAAAATGAGACACTGCAGTTTGCTAAAATAACAGCGGCCTTGGTTCCGCTAAGCATTCAAAATAGACATTCGTGACCACATATAATGTACCTAGGTATGTATCTACACACTACATGCAAATGTCTACGGACATGTTTTTATCTATGAAACGGTGATGGAATGCCGCCTTCGTCTACGGTAACCGTACTACATCAAACAAATAGCAGGAAAAACTGTATGAAGTTCTTCACCCAGTTTTTCCTGCTATTTGTTTGAAACAAACAGAAGATCATGGTACAAGTTGGAGCCGGCTTTTTCGGTGGAGTCTCATGTGGGAACTATAAGTATATAATAACTATAATAATAAACCAAATATAAAGAAACTAAATTAATTAAACTTGAAATATAAATTTACGCCATTTAAGCTTTTACTACCGCAGCTTCGCAAAGCATTGAGTTTATTTAATAAAAAATATCTGTTCTTTTTAATAAAATATATCCTACGTTCAATCTAATACCTTCAAGAACATGTGTACAAAATTTCATGATGATCGGTTCAGTAGTTTTTGCGTGAAAGCGTAACTAACATCCCTATTTTTACATTTATAATATTGGTAAGGATTGTAATTAAAAAAATATATAATTACATGTATGAAAAATGAAGCTTAAATAAAAAAAATTAACGGTACTACCTTATGGCGCACCAGTGAAAAATGATTATGTTAGAATGATTATCGTAGATCTTAATAGTCAATAGATCTGACACCACAATAGTTGATTGTTGATGACTGGTACTGGTACATTGAATGGACTAGAGATGATCGCGTGGGAGAAACCTTATAGCAAAAAGTAATCAAACTCTAGTCCCATTATTACCGTCATTGTCCGCAGGTATTTTAGTTGTCCGGAATGATAACACATAAGACAAGAAATTATAGTGTCGTCCACACTAGGTTGACAAGTAGGTAAATGGCAATAGGCTTGTATCTAAATAATAATGATATAAAAAAAAAGAGAAAATATGGTGTTCATATGCATTTATATATAGTTGATTAATAATTACTTATTTTAATCAGCATGCCGATCTGAGTGTCGTCCCGACAAAATAATCTTAAATGTATATATTTAGAATGGAAAACATATAAATCCTAACATAATTAAGGCCTTATTAAAAAAAAATATTAAGGATTTTCAAATACACTAAAGAACTGGCTGTACGTTTTAGAAAACTTTGCCTGCGTAGATACCGAATATTAAAAACAACAACAAAATATGAAAAAAGAGATGTCACTGTCTTGTGAATTGGTTGTCATTATTTGTCAATTGCCAAATTTATTGTAGAAAATTGAAAACATTACAGCTTTTTAGCTGTAATCTTTTTTATTATTAGCTTAAAGAATATAGTTAAATAAGAAAAAACTAAGCAATATTTTACAGTAAAATGACTTCAGAAACACGTACAATTTTATCAGGATTCAAGTATTTGACTGGTGACAATGAACAGCTTTGTAGGTTATGTTTAGGTACAACAAAACGCCAAGAAATGTCGTTCGAAGACGCTGTGAGGCTACAAAAGAGTTATATCGACGAAACCGTGACATTAGGAGAAATATTTGATAGCCTTGGTGTAAGTATTCATCACGAAAATTAGATATCATTATGTCCAACTTTCGTCCCAAGTACTGGCAACGATCTTATAAGATTTTAACCATCTATTACAGACTTGTGTCAGTACATGTGAATTATTAAGAACTTAGAATAGCAAACAGCTTAACGGGTCACCTGATAATACGTGGCAAACCATAGCCTATACAAGTAGTACATTATAACATAATTTATTTATATATTTGTATTATACATGAACAGTATCATGTTATTGTGTGAATTACCCTGAGTTGATCATGAATTACGATTCAGAGCTAACATGTTATACCTGAATATCCTGTAATTTCACTGCCATATCTCATTCTGTCACTGAAATACAACTTATAAAACAAGTTTCATGACAGGTGTAAATAGGTGGGTCGGAGGTGCCCATGCCAGAGTAACTTTTGGTAAATAAAGATCAAATGTATTGTAATGAAATTATTATAATCTATTTTAGGGCTCCAGAGAATCAGAATTGCCAAATGTACTTTGTAGTGATTGTGCAAAGATAGTTATCAATTCATATTTATTTAAGAAGCTTTGTGAATACTCCAACAATAAGTGGAATGAAGTCATAGGTAGACTTGAAGAGAGTTTAAATAAAGCTGATATTGTTGGGCAGAATGTTATGACTGTCTACATTCTTGTAAATCAAGATGACAATATGATACTTACAAGCAGAAAAAATCACTTAACAAGAAACAGAAAAACAGTGTTAACAAAAATAAAAAATATATTAAAAAGCAGGCAGTCCTATGTTAAAGGTAAAAAAAAGGTAAATAATGCTATAATATGTGAAGATTGTGGTGAGACATTTGCATCAAACTGTCTTCTATCAAAACATAACATGAAAGTACATCACAAAAATAAGAATCTTTGTCTCCAATGCTCAAAAGTTTTTGCAACACCACTCCAATTAGAGGAGCATGCGGAAAGAGTTCATTATCCAAAGAAAATACAATGTTCAAAATGTAATAAAATGTTCAGCACAGAAAGGATGTTAAAATATCATGACAAACTACATCACATAGCTGCTATTTGTAAATTATGTTTTGTTCAGTTTCCCTCTAAAAAGGATTTAAGAGCTCATTTATACAAGCATGATGTGAATAAATGCCCAAAGTGCAGTAAGACATTTCTAAATAAATATACATTTAGATTTCATCTGAAAATATGTGGCAACACTGAAGAGAAGCAACCCAGTTTCTTCTGTGACATTTGTAAGAAGGGATATGTTCGTAAAAATGGTTTAAAAACTCATTTGAAGACCGACCATGGATTTGGGAATGTGCTATCATGCAATTGGTGTGGTAAGAAATATGATGCTGTAAGTCGATTGAGGAATCATATTGTAAAACATACCAAAGAGAAAAACTTCCATTGTGATCAGTGTGGTGGGAAATTTGTAACACAAGCTGCTTTGGTGTATCATATAAGGCTTCATACAGGGGAAAGACCATTTCCTTGCAACTTATGTGATGAACGCTTTTTGTCAGCTTCCAGAAGAATGGACCACAAGCGCCGAGTACATTTTGGTCCAACAAAGGAGTGCCCAGTCTGTCATGTGATGTTTGTTACTGGGAGTAGATTGAGAAAACATGTCCAAAAACATTATAATCCACATAGTAAACTTTATGTTTTTGATGTTAACAAAGAACAGAAAGAAAACTGTAATTATGAACAATAGATGTGCAATCCAGATTGCACAAATTATGATATATAAGGGGGAAGTCACCCAAGATGCCTATGCTTTACAGTACAAGCTTTATAGGCTTGCATTGTAATCTATATGTAGATCATCTTTAAAAAAAATTAGTCTCTCTGCTAGCAATAATAAAACACTGAAGCAATGTTTATAAAGTGGCATAGTTACACCACTTTATAAACATTGCTTCTTAATATGGAACACATTCATGGTCTTCTTACTTTTTTTTTCAGGAAAAATCCAAAATGCTAAATTGATCTAGTTTATGTATGTCTAATTTATAACTTATATATATATATTATATCTTATACACTGTAATTTACTCTGTACAAATACAAATACTTATGTCATCTAGTCTACGTAATAAAAAACCTATTACTTTTGAGATCATCTCTAGTTTATTTTATTGATTTATTGCTATATACTATATAAATATAAGGATTCTATTTTACATTTCAATCATTATGTATATACAATATACATTTTACTTATCAATTCATACTTAAATAAATTCCCCATCCTCTTCAACTCTGCTCTTATTTGTTTCCTCTAGTTACTCTAGTATATTTGTGGGTATTCACAAAGTGATCCAGGATTACTTTAATTATGATGTTATTTGAATTACTAGACTTTTAAATAGATATTTGACTTGTAGAGAAAAATTTGAAGATAAAGTTACATAAACTCTTTTGAACTGTTTAATGTAATTTTTGCTAGGAATTTATGAATAATTTGTCAAAGTTTGGACTTTATATTAGTTGCAATAATCCTGTTGCACTTTATACAATCTACTTGCAGGATCATGATGCCTGCTCAAATGCTGCTTCAAGAAATGAGACGTTACAAATTTACGTGAGCAAATGTGACAGCTTAATGTAGGACCCACATGCCTAAATCTAATATGATCAGCTCTAGCTGACGCGTTTACAAATCTCTCATTACACATTGTACAAGAGTAAGGCTTCTCTCCAGTATGTCTTCTTGTATGGTATAGTAAGGCTTCTTTAGAAACGAATCTGTTGGAACAAATATCACATTTGAAGTTCTTTTCCCCAGTATGTTTTATTAAGTGTGTTTTCAAATAGCTTGGTGCAGTAAACTTTTTCCCACAGTAATTGCATATATGTGGCTTAGCATTGCCGTGCACAAATCTCATATGGACTCGTAGCCCACCTACTGTGCTGTAACCTTTATTACAAGTACTACAAATGAAAGTTTTCTTTATATTGCTCCTAATGGGATGTGGATCTATAAGGTCTTCTAGGCACAATTTGACATGTTTAATAAAGAAGTCTTTAGTTGCATATGATTTGCCACATTTGGGGCATTCATTTCTTGTCACATGTTTCTGTTCGTGACTGCGTAATTTATCTAAACCTTGGCAGCATTTACCACACTCCTTGCATAAATATTTTTTATGCATCCTATCCATATGTTTTACAAGATCCTCTTCGCTATTTTTATACATTTTGCATTTGGAGCATTGGAATCTGTGGGTCGTGCTTACATGGATTTCTAATTCACTGTGATCAAAAAATGTTTCATAACATAGTGTACATGTTAAAATATCATGGCATGTTTCATTATGATCTTTAAGATTATCAATATTATCTAATATTATATTGCAGTGTAAGCACTGGAACTGCCTTTGTTTTTTATTACCGTTATCATTCCATGCTTCAAGTTTTTCATCATCATTCTCATTTCTTAAAATCAATATAGTACTAATGTCGCTGTCATTTAAAGCAATGTACAAACTTCTATTATTGGTTAATTCAGAATCATCTTGTAATGCTTCTATAATGTTGTCGAATATTCTGTTAAGCAATTCTGTAGACTGCTTACATTTTAAAATAAATTTAACTGCATCAACTGTTTTGGTCATACAATTTGTGCAGATGGCATCTATTCCTGGTATTTCTTCAGTAACCTGTAACTTTATAAATATTTCATTAATAAATTTCTATTATAGAAATCGCCACCTCTTTGTAAGACATTTTAAATATTGCACTTTACTCACCTTTTCATCGTCTTTTAATAATATATCCAGTACCTCAGATAAAGGCTGGAATTCACCGTTTTGTAGTACACTAACACTATCATGGAAACGTACATACTCTTCACGAATTTCCTTTAGACATAGTCTGCAATTACTGAAGGGTTTCTGACTAACTATATTAGACAATAGAAGGTTCATATTGAAGTCTGGTTCTAAGTTTTCGCACTGGTTTTTAGAATCCATATTGATTGCCACTGTTCAAGTAATTAATAATATATTTTAAATTAAATAGTGAATTCTTCAAGTTTCTCGAGTATTTTGTTCCATACAATCAAAATACGTCAGATTAAGCGCGCGCTTTGTAAATTATACGTTCAAGAACCGCAATTCTACTATACCGCAGAGCCGCCATGAAACAAAATGGCGGCTTCTGAATCTAAATGGTTTTAAAACTAATATTAGGTATAATGACACCGTACCTTAAAGCGTAAATAAATTTTATATATCTAAAATAAAGTGCGGTTACATTTATATGGAAATAATTTAATTTAATACATAATTATAGAGATTCTATCATAATAAACTTATAAATGGCAATTGATGCTTAAACAAGAAATAAATAGTACCTACCTAGGTACTATTTATTATGATGTTGCTTTGCTATTAATTATGTTAAGCATTGTAGTCAATATATTACATTATTTTATAAATAATGTACAACTACGCATTTCGGTTTTGTATCTGTATGCCTTTGCCTTACGTAATAGGAAAAAAACGTGAATTCTGTCCACATCCATAGATCAAAAAGACTACAGATGTGTTTATCTCATTGTACAGATAAAAGATTTGATAATATTGTAAATAAATATTTGAAAATCACAATATTCATCAAAACAATATATGATTTCTGCTTGTTTAAGGTATCAACATTTTAAGCATTTATTAGCAGCAGAAGCGAGCAGCTAATAGCTGCAATAAGTACACTAAGGAAATACAAATTGTAAATCATCATGAATAGTGTAAAAAGTGTTTTATTTAAATTAATATCAAATGAAAACAACTATTGTTGTTTATGTACTAACACTGTAGACATAACACAAGTCTATTTTATTAGCGATCAAGTATATTTGAGTGACAATGTAACAGATGTATTACAAATACTAAATGATGTTGTGGGTGATAGGGTAAGTTATTGATACAACTAGAAACATTGAACACTCCAATAAAATCTAATATATAAAACTATTATCAATACTCATTATATTGATCCTGTATACATTTTCCCGTATATTCTAGATAGACTTTGTAAAAAGGTGACACTGTACCAATACAGTCTATAGTATATACCTATTTCTCTAGAAAACATTCTTTTTTTAAATAGTTTTGTTGTATAGAGATTTAGATAGGCAGTACCTCATCAATATTTGTTTGTGTTTGTTTCAGTTTGTGGAAAGCATAGCATCAGATTTTATTTGTGAAAAATGCACAGAATCGGCAATTATCTGTTATAAATTCATAAAAACCTGCCAAAATAACATACACCATATTGAAAGTGCCATAAACAGCCTGAATGAGTGTTTTGCGGTAAAAACAGTATTACAGATGGATAAAGACATGATTGCAGTTTTGAATTTGAATGATTTTACAACAAAGCAGTATTATGATCGGGAGATTAAAGATAAATTGTTAGTATTCCAACATATGCAGACTGTTTCCAACCATACCAGTAGTAAATTAAAATGTTTTTCTAATAATGAAACCGAAATAGAGAATTATGTAGAAAACATAATTGAAGATATAAATTATACAAGTAAAAGCGAGGGAAGTAATAAAAGTCATCCTATATCAATAAAAGGCATGATGTGTGAAAATAATGCATCAATATATAAATGTAAAGAATGTTCCAAAACTTTTTTAAGGTCTCATAATTTGAAGCAACATTATATGAGGGCACATGCCCCTAAAACATACAAATGTAACAACTGCCACAAATATTTTGGTTCAGTAACAATTTTAAATCAGCATATGAATGAAAGTCACTATAATAGAATATGTACTCAATGTGGTAAAACATTTAATAATATAACCTCATTAAAAGTTCATGAAGTGAGCCACACATTAAAGTTTGAATGTCATAATTGTGGCAAATGCTATAAGAGTATGCATACTTTTAAAAATCACATGAAATTAAAAGTGTGCAAAAAGCTAAACAGGAAACTAACAGAACCAAAACTAATATGTGACTTTTGCAGTAAAAAATATAGTAACAAACAGACATTGGTGGTTCATATAAAAATTGAACATGAAAAAGGAAAGGCACATGTGTGCTCCTGGTGTGATAAAAGATTTTCTGCAGAAAGTAGATTGAAGGCCCATACTGTAACACATACTGGAGAGAAAAATTACAGTTGTGATTTATGTCACAGAAGGTTTGTAACAAAAGAATCTTTATTAATTCACACAAGAACACATACTGGGGAGAAACCATATGAATGTGAGAAATGTAAGCAAAGGTTTATAACATCATCTAGAAGAGCAGAACATGTAAGAAGGGAACACACGGAATCAATGCAGGAGTGTGATATTTGCAATAGTAAATTTAAGACACGGGCTTGCCTCTTACAGCATAGAAAGAGGCATATTAACCCAAATAGTAGGTTCTATTTGAAATTACATAATTGAGAGTGCAACTAAGAATAAATCATGGATACATTAAGTACAACTGGTATACACAAGGATTATGTTCATTAAACATGTCTGTTTTATTTTTACATGTTGTAATAAGTTTAATCATAACAATCAATTACAATGTTCCCTTTACCAATACCATTCTGTGAATACCTAATATTTTTTTCTTGTTAATCATTTTTCCAACCACCTTTCGAAAAATATCACTGGCTTCACTGAAAATTTGTCTGATATCCAATGGAAATTCTTCTAAAACTGAGAAATAAGTAAAACATATTTATATATATACTTTATTGCACTTATTACATTAATAGACAAAGACATTTATACTAAATTGTGAGCAAGGGCGGGCTTATCTCTGCAAGAGATTTCTTTCAGCCAACCTAACGCTGTGACAGAGGTGGTAATTAGCGGGCAACGATAGTGCTTGAGTTTTTAAGTGGTTGTAATACATAACCATAGATATTCCAATGTATACTTAAAGAACAAACAAAAAAAAAAAAGCATACACACACTAAATATATAAAATACAATACATATAATAAATAAATATTATATTATAAATATAATAAAATAACCATATATAAATACCTTTATTTATGTACCTTTTGTGGTACTGTTTTAAACAGTTTTCATATACATCATGTTACAATGGAACTTAATATCTTTATTCTGTATGAGTTAAAACATATCATTATTATGATAATATTTTAACTTTTTTTTGTTCCATTTATATGCCAGCCGCAAAGCGGTGTCTAAGTTATGTTTTAATTGGAAAGTCAGATATATCAGTGTAATTAAAGGGCAGTGCAGTGTGGCATAATATTTGCCCTACTAGTGAATTTGTCTAACTGACCTGACCTCATGTTCATTTTATTGTACTCCACTGGTGGCCCGCCAGCGTAAACCGTAACAATATACAAAAAATTGCCCTTCTGTATTGGAATACATAAGGAGTACTACTCGTGACACTCGAATTAATATTCTTTTCTTGGGAAATCATGTTTAAATTAAAACTATAATTTTATCAAATAAAATAAAATACGCACTTTTCACATCATTGGTTACTCGAGTGGTAACATTTTTGCCACTACTACTTGCTATTAACATCTGAAAAGTCATATTTCATTTAAATGCTGTATTATGTTTATTATATATCAATGTGGTTCATACATTGATTTTATGCGAAATAGAATGTACCAAGAAAATCACACAAGTTCCACAATAAGAAAATATCATTTTATGTGTACAACTTTACTGAAGAAATGAGACAATATAAATATTTATGATTTTCATAAAAACGGATGCAAACTATAAAATAAAGATTTAAAACTAATCAAATTTGGCGCCATTGGCAATAGATTAGAGAGTTCATAATAAACCGAATAAAAAAAATGTCTACCTACACCATAGAGTAATTAAAAGGTGAGGATTATTTTCTCAAATATATACTAAGTACGCAAAGAGAAAATAGTGTTAGTGGCATGTCTCTTTATAGATAAGTTTTGGTTCAATATTGAACTTGTGTCATATTATATTTCTTTTATAAGTGAGTACAATGACGATCTTCCAGTTACGTATTTTATAAAACTCCATAAAGAATAAAAACAATTATTTTTGTCAATGAACACTTTTGACAGTTGTTTGTTTATGACGACTTATGGTTTATTGTTGCTCGTCGGTCATTGGCTGATAAAAACAAGGTATCTCTTTCTTTTACGACAGCAAGCAAAATGGCCGAAGTTTATGCCAGTGCTACAGACGTCTCAGTTTACTATCCGTGATGTCGTGTTCCAGTCTTTGTAAATAAACATTTTAGTGAAGTTGCTGTTTCGTTTTTAGTGTTTGTGATTATTCTGCCTGTGTTTTTGCATATATCCACGTGTTAACCACAAGTTTTAACTAGAAAGGTGTTAGTGAGTGTTTTGTGCCTTGTTTTTGTCCATATCTCGTCGTGACATTTATTTTGGATTTATGTTTACCTAATCACGGTAAGGGCTAGTTAAGTTTTTATACATTCATTACAAAATATTTACTTTTAATTAGTTTTGTGTTGCGTGTAAATACTTTTTATTTCATAAAGTTTTGACAATTTTGTATCTCGTTCTAATCAGAGGGTTAGTTGCAAGAACGATAGAGAGAGATTGCGAACGGTATGGCAAAGTTGTCGCTCCCTATGCATAATGGAAAGTGTGCCGTGTATTATTGTTTTGGCCGCGACCTATTACGAAATGTTAGATTCATGCGGCAGCCGTTTAGTCTGAGTTCGGCTGATCACTGGAAGCAATTAAAGTTGACCCTATAAGATTAAGCGTGACATAAGAAGTGTAGGCCGCTCACAACCACAGCTGCTATAGTGACATCATTTTTGCTTATTTTAAGAATAAATTTGTACAATATATTCACGATTATACGTTTTCTAGGTGTCTTGTGTGATTTGTAAATAGAACGAGAATCATGCGTACGGAGAGGTAACGTCTTGCGTCAACTTTTAGCACTTTAATCCAGTCTTTTTCTACATGCTGGATTACGATAAATCTTGTATGAATCCACGACTGTTATTCTGACTATGATGTCCTGGTACAGTCATATTTGCCAAGTTAAATAGGTTGGTTGAATTTTATTTCAAAGTTTTAAATACATAATTTATTTTAGAACACTTAGAAACATCAACATTTTTTTATCATTTTACCAATCGTTTATGTTTTTGTTTATCAATTTCCTAGTAATTGATTAGTTTTATTAGTTAGTAGCTGTTGCCCCTAACTTAGTCCATATGGAATTAGATTTTTTTTGTAATAAAAGTAATTAAATGAAATCTTTAATTCATTGCTACAACTTAACATGAACATGTTACAAATTAAATTAGATAAGGGTTATAGAATGAGTTTTATTGTATATTATTCTGTAATTATTATCAGACATGATTATATAGAATTGGCTGTTGGTGTGTAATAATTTTACAATTTCTGACATTGTTGAAGTTGTTTCTTATACATTCTGTTATCTTCTATCTATCTATCTGTTGTTGTGTAACAATTAATAGTTCTAGATACTTTTAAACTTTACACAAGTTTAGTTCAAAGAGATCTAAATATCTTATTTAGTAGCCTTATTCAAACCTGATTAACTATATTAATAATTTCTAGTAATTCTATTGATGACCTAGAAGTCTTCTATGATTGGAATAGGATTGCGGAAGACAGAGCTGAATGGAGAGAGCTAGAGGAAGCATATGCCAAGACTCAGAATTGCAGGCGATTATGTAAACCATTGAATGTTCTTCTACCTTGGGGAAAAAGGCTTTATTATTATACCACTGTTGTTGCTAGCTGAATATCCAGTTAGTTGAGAAGAAGTAAATTTTTTCAAGGATATTTGTAAGCAGTTCCAATATTATAAGGAAATCCATTCTGTGATGCAGTCATGTAGAGTGGCTTCCCATCTAAAATGTCTACTCATGTGCTTTTTTTTATCTCGAGACAATATACAGAGTTATTTAAGCTAGGTAGCTTAAAGCTTGTGTTATAAGTACTAGATAACTGATACAAGTACATAGATATATTTTTTTCGTAAATACGTAGAAAACACCTAGACCAATACAAACAATCATGAATATAAATGTTTGTGCTGTGCAATGTATCAAACCCGCGACCATTGGAAGTAAGGTTGTCTGCTAAACCACTACACCATTGAGGCTGTCTAGTATCACTGTGCATTCTAAAGCTACTGCCAGTCTTCTGGCAAGAAAATCAACTGGAACATTTTTGTATGGTACGGTTATAATTGTTTAATCAGTGTTTTAACTAAAATATTATCATATGACACTTCCTGACATACTTTATTTCATGAATCATAGTGTTCTTATAAATAATACTAGCAAGTTGTGATTAGTACATATCTTATCTAAATTGCGGGGTATGTGTGTATGTATGTATTATTAAATCATTTAAGAGATAGTATGAAGGTAGAAGAATGTGTGAATCCACTGATTGTAGTAAAATAAACATTAGTTAAGTTTTCGCTTAGATATCAAATTACTAGCTGTGCCTGTGGTTCCACCGTCATAAAAATTTTTAGCGTATGTGTTATTCTAATGTATAAGCTATATAACTGTAAAGTTTCATCAAAATCCGTTCAATATGTTTTGTGTGAAAGAGCAACAAACATCCATCCATACTAACAAACTTTCACGTTTTTAATATTAAGATGTGTTATTCTAATATATGAACTATATTACTGTAAAGTTTCATCAAAATCTATTCATTAGTTTTTGCATGAAAGAGTAAATCATCAATTATCTATTCTTCTATACTCAAAAATTTTTCATTTTTATAATGTTAGTAAAATTATAGAAAACCTCTATTTTTTGTCTATTTAAACTCTTGACCTTTAATAGTTTGAAGTTTTTATCATGCATTGTATTCTCAGACACATCTATATCATCTAATGTTTGTTTGACTGCACTAGCAGAGTTTCTAATCCATTCTTTAGAGCTAAATTTGCATACTGAATGAAGACCTACAATCACAAAAATGATTATTCAAGTGTTTGTATTAAGTCTATTTGATGAAGATTTCTATTGTCTTATGAGCTTGTCTATCTAAATTTATATTACAAAGAGGAAAGATCTGATTCTTTGGTTTGTAATGAATAAATTAGAAATTGCATGACGGATTTTAAATTCTACCACCATCTATAGAAAGTTGAAACTTTGTTGAATTAACCATGACACTTTCATAGGATATTTCTCTGCCAAGGGATTTTTCATCTATTATTTACTGCCAGTCGTAATTTCCAAAATGGTTATAAGCTTAACACAACTTTCTAAGGTTTTGGATCGGGCGGAATTGGTCATCTCAACCTGTTACTAGCTAGCGGACCAAGAGGATTTTCTGGAACTCGACCTAATATGTTATAAACCTAATGTTATATTGATAGCAATGTTTTTACCCGTACATTAGTACGGGTAAATAATATCTCAAGACAAATAACTCAGCGTCATCTTGTCCCGATATAAGCAGAGCTTGTGTTATGGGTACAAGACAACTGGTATAAACTTTAACATGCTATAAAATATACATAGAAAACACCCAATACAAACAATCATACTCATGAATACAAATGTTTGTACCGTGTGAGGAAATTAACCATATGACATAGACACCTATATAAATATATAGTACATTCTAAATAAACTGACTTTAAAAAAAAAGTTTTGAATTTCTTACCAGTTCTTCTCAATTGGATCTATATACCGAACTGGACGGTAGGGAAAAAAAATGAAATTAGAATGTAAAAATTTGACGTTCATAAGCGGCTAAAATGTCCTACATGAATAAATGATTTTTGAATTTGAATTTGAACCCACGCCCAACAGAAGTAAAGCGGTGTGCTAAACCGCTAGACCACCAAGACTAATATTATTAATAATCTTCCACTTTGGATACAGTACAATACGTAGTACGGAGTACGTTCTTTGTTACAATGATTTCTATGTGCTGTGAATGTCTGGTTAGTGAGTAGTTAAGGATGTGAAAACTGATGAGGCCAATTAGACATAGGCATAAGGCGGATCGCTTACGTAATTCGCAACAATTACATGCTATAATGTTAACATTACTATTGTGTAGTTAGTTACAAGACTACATGGTATTGCATTAGTATTCTATGTAAACTTGTAAACACTTCAATATTTTGTTATATTAATTAATCCATACTAGTCGTGTATGCGGTTTCAATCGCGTGAAATTTATAGCCTATATGTTGTTCTGATGTATAAACTATATTACTGTAGTTTAGGTTAGGTTAAGTTTCATCATCCGTTCAGTAGTTTTTGCGTGAAAGAATAACAAATTTACATCCATAATCACAAATCTTCGCGTTTATAATATACATTTTTTTTATTCATTTTTCTTTCCTTACACAGCGCCATCTAGTCCCAAGTTAAGGTAGCTAAAGCTTGTGTTATGGGTACTAAACAACTGATACAAATACATACATATATATTTTTTTCAAAACACCCAGACCAATACAAACAATCATACTCATGAATACAAATGTTTATGCCGTGCGAGGAATCGAACCCGCGACCATTGGACGTAAAGCGGTGTGCTAAACGACTATACCACCGAGGTCGTCAGATATTAATAAGATTATGAAATTGTATACCCGCATTTACGCTGGCGGGGCACCAGTGGAGGATGATTTCCCTACGTGCCAAAAAAAACGTCAACGTAGGTCGGGAAAAATATCATGATGTTTTCTAAGGGTATCGCGTGGAGGTCAATCATGTCATATCTAGCAATGGGGTCATTACTTCACATTACTAATAATCCCCTCCCCATAATTGTCATAACTCTCGATTTATTGAACTGCAAAAAATATAGTCTTTGTTTATTGTGGTGTTACTTACATTTGTGTAATTAAATACCAGTAATAGTTAATTGTCTGAACAATGATCTGCGATGGGAATGAGCTAAGAAATCTGTGTAATGTTAGCGTAAGTACTTTAAATGGTAAATAATTGGAGTGGTAATGAAGGTGACAGCTCATTGCATGTACAAAGATACCATGAATAACCTAAGACAATTCACACAGCGTCATCTAGTCCTAAGCAAAGCAGAGCTTGTGTTATGGGTGCTAGACATCTGATATAAATACTTAGATATATTTAGATGCTTTTTAGAGATGTTTGCAGCAACGCGTATAGATGGCTTTGAAGCCATAATGCGAAATAGAACTGCATCACTGATGTGTAGAATTCGGGGAGCGCAAACAGCCTCCTAAACACCATATCTAATATGTCGGATTGTCCACTTCAGGGGCACTGGATATCGCTGCATTGCTGCGGACCGAGGGCTTCTGGACGTGGACAAAGACATAAATATAACTATATGAATTAAATGTATAAAATTGTAATTTACTAACATAGTTTATAACTTGTTTACTAACATAATATGGATGGATATATATCCGAAATAAATGGAAT